AATAAGAGGCTCAGGATATTTTGATTTATGCATTTAAACAAAAACGGAATTCTAAATTTATGTGAGAAAGAGAAAAGAAGACAAAAAAATTGTGTATTCTGAATAAAGAATTCTTTTTTTTTTGTGAAGATCAGTAATGGCATGTAAAATCTTAAACATTGCGGTAGTTCTGAATAAGAGGCTCAGGGATATAATGATTGATGTATTTTAAAAAATCGGAATTCTAAATTTATGTGAAGAAGATAAAAGAAGAGAATACATTTTTGTCTTATAGATAAAGAATACGCTTTTATTTATGAAGATCAATAATGACATAAAAAATCATAACGATAGCTATAGGTTTGTACAAGAAGCTCAGGTGATATTTTGATTGATGTATTAAAACAAAAACGGAATTCTAAATTTATCTGAAGAAGACAAAAGAAGAGAATAATATTTTTTGGCTTATATATAAAGAATACGTTTTTATCTATGATGATCTATAATCGCATGTGAAATCATAAACATAGTCTGTACAAGAAGCGCAAAGATATTTTGATTTATTTATTTAAACAAAAAACGGAACTCTAAATTTATTTGAAGAATACAAAATGTAAGGCTTAAATAAATTTTTGTGTCTTCTGGATAAAGCTTACGTTTTTATTTATGATGATCAATAATGGTGTTTAAAATCATAACCATAGCTGTAGTTCTGAATAAGAAGCTCATGATTATTTTCATTTATGCATTTAAACAAAAACGGAATTCTAAATATATGTGAAGAAAAAAAACTGTAAGACATAAATAATTTTTGTATTTTATTTATGTAGATCATACAGGACGTGTAAAGTCACAGTCATAGCTATACCTATGTACAGTTATAGTGCGCGTTAGCTTTTAACCATATTAAACATGCAATAGTTTTAATGCTAAAAACCTTTGTTGGACAAGCAATAGGCCTACAAATTTTCCTAAAAATGTGTGAAAATATAATAAAATGTCATTAAATTTAATTTTATCAAGTTGCCTTTATTGTGTGCCTTTGTTAATAAATTGTACTTTTTTAAAATTAATTTAAAATCTTGCAGTAGTTAAATTTGGAGAGCCGTATGTGATACCAGTAAATGACCTTTGACCCGCAAGTCTCGAGCTTGGCCACCTCATTCATCACTAGAGGGACTGAATCACAGCAACAATATCTTACTCCAAACGTAAATAGTGCTCAGGTTAAAGAAGCAGATTTGACGTATTAACTGGCTGGCTTGAAGGAAATAATTCTTCCATAACACGTTGGAAATGTATTGGCCACACACTCAGGAAGCCTGTATCCAGCGTCACAAGACAGGCCCTCACCTGGAATCCACAGGGCAGGAAGAAAAGAGGAAGACCAAGAAAGACATGGAGACGTGACCTGGAAGAAGACACCAAGAAGTTTAATAAATTAATAAACCGGGAGTAATCTCCCCTAAACTTTCTTGAATATTCTTATATAAAACTACGTGGGATGGCAACTCGGGATAAAGACATGATTTTTAATCACTTAAACTTTTTAAAATAGAATAGAATCGCGTAGAAAAAAAGAATTACGCACCAAGCGAACGTCAAAACAAAATGTGCTTAATAGTGCGGAATATTATTAGTACTTTATAAATGTATTTGCGTTTTTTGAGAAATCGGAAATAGCGTAAATTGCTCATTCATGTCAACGGAATTTACTCAAAATTTGATAGAAGGCGGATAATTGTATCTTTTACTTACATGTAAAATGTCATTTATCGATCTGAATTAGAACTCAACTTATAGGCTTTTGAAAAAGTCAAAGTAGAAAAAGTTCAACTTCCAATTATTGGAAATCGCTCAAAAGTTGATACGGATCTACGATTTTAATATAATACTTATATATGAAATTTCATCAACCTAGCTGTAACGGTACTCAAGTTATTGTGTTTACATACACACACACACTCACCCACAGACACACATATAGACAAGATTGCAAAATTATGTTTTTTTCAACCCAGGGAGGTGTAAAACGATTGCAAGACTTTCTCTATACTCTGTATATACGAGAAAGTAAAAAATCATGTCAATATCCCGAGTTGCCATCCCCTGTTGTTTTATATAAGAATATTCGAGAAAGTTTAAGGGAGATCACTCCGGTTTATTTTAGGTAATATTCCTAGCCAGATAATAGATTCTGAAATTTAAAAATTGTATATTAACAATTATGTAAGCACAATATTTCTAATAAACATCAAATTAAATGTAAAATCGTACAAGTAGGACGAAAGAAATAAAAGGACAGGTCTTACTATTTCTAAAGCAATCAGAGCACCGAACATGGATCGTCTGTAAAACATATGCCCGAGAATCGTCGAGTATGTAGGGGGGGGGGCGGCATCCAAGATTACATCTAAAAAAACAATGACATTTATTTAATTATTTCTAATAATCTTCATCTTACCTTAACATTTTTATATCTGTTATAGTAATTTATATTTTATTTTTGCACATACAAGTTTTAGATAAGTACATCAGAGAAAGGTAGTATCGGTATAGTTTATAGTTAGTCCTAAAGTATCTATTTAGTCAGAAGACTTTTACAGATGGTTTCCATGTTAATGCATGAACCTAATTTGTTAGCTGACAAAAGCATAAGTCCACTATATTAAGTCTGGGTATATTCTCTCATTATCTTTGAATCAAATGGAATATGAGAACAGTGAAAAAAAAACGATACCCATGCTGTGAGGTTTGTTGATTAATAGTAAGCTCCGATTGTAATTCATTTAGGCTAAAAACATTTATTTTTGTAGTTATTAAAACAAGATTTTAAAAATATTTAAAAGTATAAGCTTTTAATGATGCACTGAAAATAAGAAAACATAAAATTAATCTGCGTATTTTATGTTTTAGCGACAAAGTCTCATAAATTCATAACCTATTTGCTCTATACTTTGATGAACTGTATGAGTTTTGTAAAGACGCAGGTCTTTGGCACAGTGTGGACTTAAAGAAAGTCGAGATCGATAACTAATATGCCTACAGTTTACAGTAATTTATGAACCCCACTTAGTCATCCGGATGATTAGGTGGAATTTACATTTATAATAGATAATTAGGCTGTCAATAACAAAATTCAACCGTCAACTTCAGCAATATTGTTCTTATTCCAACTTATCATTTGACGTAAGTCTGAATAAATGGATGTCATTCAAAGCGTATTTAAGTGTATAATACTGTACATTTTAAACCTTATAGATGAGGATGAAAATGGAGGGTTGCAACGTTAAATAACAAAGAAAACGACATTTCGTTTCGATAATTGTATAGATTTGACGAAATATCGTTGTTTTTTTTTTAAGTTTAATCATCCTAGAAAGCTAATTACATGCTGATATTTAACAAAATAACCTAACATGTATGTTTCAATTTATCAAAATGGAATCGCTGTATTTTTAAAAAAAAAAATGTTCTTTATTTGGCGCGTATTGTTAATTACATAACAACGATATTGATTATGTGCTAATAAGTGTTATTAGTATCGAATACTTTGTTATTTCGATATTGTTTGCCCATAAGCTGAACTCATGGATGTTTAATTTACACAGGAACCAGTAGTCCGTTTGAGATAGTTTACCGGTAGTTAACATGCTAGAGACTTTTTTTCTTCGTTTGTTGTTTATGCTAACTTTTTAAAATGATATTTTGAATGTGAGTAAAACTATAAAAAAGCTTTAAGTCGTGGCATAATCTGCTAGGGTTGCATGAGGGTAGGCTTGAAAATCTGGTTCCAAAGTTTTGTTGCCAGAAAGCATATTTTTCAACCAAAATTGAATATTTTATAACTTTTGTATAAAAAGTACAAAATGACTTCCGGTTTTATTAAAGCTAGAGATATTCAAACAAATACTTACATGTAATATAATAGTAATTTGGCGAATTCTTTTATTTTTAGTTTTGATTGGTTGAGTCGGGGTGTTGTGGTGATAGGGGATGTTGTATTATTTAATATAAGTACAATAATTCAGTTATATAACATAGACCACTAATGTGTATTTTATCATGGAAAACATTTGTTGTGACTTTCATTGTTTTACTTTCCATGGCTAATCAGTTTGAGGAGAGGTAGAGGGTGGTTTTTTTAAATATTTGAATTGATAAAATAATTATCGATTATTCCCAAACGGCTTTAATTTTTTACAAATTTAACTATAAATATATAACTTTAAATTTTATCGCTTACCATATTTTTAAAAAAAAAACGATTTTATGGCCTATATTACAGAGTCACTGACGGATGACTCTCTGACCGATTGTGGTACATCCAAAGCTATTTTACAAGAGCCATATCTTCAATAAATGGTAATTTTTTTTGTGGCGCCCCACAATAGTAAATGATATATATATATATATATATATATATATATATATATATATATATATAATATATATATATATATATATATATATATATATATATATATATATATATATATATATATATATATATATATATATACATATATATATATACATATATATATATATATATATATATATATATATATATATATATATATATATATATATATATATATATATATATATATATATAAATTTATTTATTTATTAATTAATTAAATATTTATTTTAATTAAAGAGACAGTTTAAGCAATATACACACATTTAAAGTGTTTGATTATAATATGGAGATATTTTAAAATGTGTTGCTGCATTCTTTGATATAAATTTGTACTTGAAATAACAAACATGTTTTCTACTATCTCTATTTTTTTACACTTGTTAAGTTGTTAAATGGATGATTTTCTAAAAAGCACTTGATTGGTTTGACTAATTTGTTTTTCTATATCTTACAGAATCCATACATCATTTTAAATATTTTTTTTAATTTAACTCATTGGAGTTCTGGCTGGAATACTTTGTAAGAAGTGGCTGTGTTGTTTTTTTTTAAAAATTATTCCCTGACATTTTAAATAACAAATAAAGATAACTCCAACATGAATCATTCAGAAGGGGAGATAACTCATACGACCGTTCCTTATGAAAACATGACAGACGACAGCTTTTCTGAAACAGTGAGCAGAGATCTTGAGAAGAAATATATCATCATGAAATCCTACGTCAACCCTATCATCGGCTGTCTTGGTCTGTTCGTCAACACAATCGGGCTGTATATTTTATACAAGAGCGGGCTCAAGAAACCTTCAAATATTTTCTTAGCCTCGCTTCTAGTCGCTGACTCTATGTATCTGACAGGGGCAGTTAACTGCGCCGGTATCCTAGCAACCGTCGGACCAGGGAAGCTCAAACCTCAGAAGTGGGTGTGGGAAATAGAAAGAAATTTGGCCTACCTCGTCTTCGTTATTGACCAACTGACATTTTTTATCTCAAGCGTGTCTGCCGCTGTTTCTCCTTGCCTGCCAGTTATTATAACCGTTGAACGTTTGCTTGCTGTGTTTTTTCCGCTCAAATTTAAGACCTTGGTGACGAGAAAGGTAGCGCTGTTTTTAGTCGTCTCGCTTTTTCTATTTTGGACGCCGTGGATAGCTTTTATTGCAGCGGCGTTGGAGTTTAAGTACGTGTATGTATCTGAAGACACGTCTTACGGAATGAGATCTTGGTCCAAATTAATGTGGGACAACATCGATGTCATAATTCTCTGCGATAGTTATATATTCAACTTCATGACCTCGATTCTCCCAGCATGCATTGTGATCATCTGTTGCTGTTTGATAGGTGTCAAAATAAAACTGGCTCACCGGAAGCGGAAGTCGATGTCTAGCACTAAAAACCAGACGACGTCAAGATCGACCATCACGTTGTTGACAGTTTCTCTTATCAGCGCTATATTTCAGAGCGCGTATTTCATCGTCTCCATTTCGATCAACGACGAAGTCTTGAAACTGAGTGCCATGGCGAAGCTGTTCAGGGAGATCCAGTACTTCATTAACAACTGTGCCAGCTCCATCAACACCATTGTGTACATAATTCTCAACAAGAAACTCAGGAATACTTTGATAGATACGTTTACGCAAAAACATAATGATAAAGGTTTTAGAACAAACTAATGATAACGCTTTTTGAACAAATAAACCGTAAGGTTGAGATCGTTTTTTTAGTTAAAACATTTTCAGTTTTTTCTATAAAGCTTGTTAAGTGTTACGTACGTGTTATATCACAGCCAATTTTGTATGGAGAAGTTGTAAGTTACTTCTCATATACATTCATTCAGATACTTATAATTTTTATGCTTACTAACCTTTTAGAACAACACTACAGCTTTTATTTCTAAACAATTTGTTGAAATAGAAAAATATCATTACAATTAAAAATTTTAAATAAAATGATTTTTTGTAAAATAATTAAAAGGGATTTTATTAATTAAATTAAGGCAGTGTCATTCTAATAAAGTAAACAGTCGAGAAAAATTCATACAAAACATATTTAACCTAAACATAACCTTACCACAGTGAATGGAATTTAAAAATTTAAGAATTATAAAATTCTGATCAACTATATAAATAGTATGATATCTTAAATAAAACAAGTAATTAAAAAAAGTCTAGTGACAATTTTAGCGCAATTTCCTTACGTTATCTAAAAATAGCTCTGTCGTAGCGTAAATCAACAGCAGGGTTAGTAAAACCATTGGTTAGTTATTAAAACGTTTTTTATTAATTTTTTTTTCAGTATTTTAGATGTTTTATTTACAATAGAGTAACATGACTAAAAACCATTGCGCGCCTAGCTACCGAGCGTGATGTCGCAGATATTGAACGTGATGGCGCAGCTATAAAACGTGCTGACGCGTGTGGTGTGGTTGCATAAAATGCCTACTAATTCGGTCCAAATTTTAATTAATTCAAAAAACGTTTTGTGACCAAACGAAAGGATATTTTTGAAAACTTTCTTCGGCAATATTGTTCTAAATTATAGCAGGAATCGATTGGTGCATGTTTCAAGTCGCTACGTGGTCTGGTTGCCGAGATATGGGCCAAAAACTGCATTTTTCCGAGGTTTTTTGGCTTTTCCGGGAAATCCATGAAAGAAACCCGGAATTTTTATGGTCTATGTTCATCCTCGTAACTTGCTTAACATAATTGTTTTTGTAACTAGTCATCGATATTGCTTCGTTGAGGAGGAGATACGACTTAAAGTTGCGGACACACATCCATACATTCATCCATCCATTCCCAGAAATGACGAGTTAATAAACGCAATTCTCCAGAATGGAAATTGCGCTAAAAAGTAAATTTTTATACGTTTTTAGTTTTATCACACAATACTACTGTAGATAAACATTAAAAAATAACTCTGCTAACAATCCAAACATTTGTTAATATCTTTTTAAACTGTTAATGAAAGACTATTTTTTTTTAATATGAATTTAAATTATAATATTTCAAAATGATTTGTTCATACAATGTCATTTACAGTTGGTTTAGAGTATCATCCCCTGACGTGTAAGTCTTATAATTTTGTTGGTTATTGTGATTTGTGTTACTTCGCTTTGCCCGAATTTTTTTATCTTTAAATCAGTATTTAGTTTTTAATGGTGCAAAATGAATGTTCCAGTAATTAATATTTCAAAAATCTTACATTTAAAAAAAAAAAATGACGTTCAAAACATAGGTTCATAATTAAAAGCTTAGTTACGATTATACATTTTAAAATGAATGTCAAACCAAAATAAAGCAGATAAGTTGAAGTTAATAATGTATTTTAATTACTATATGAACATATTATGTTCTCTTGTGATTCTAAACTCATTTGATGTTCTATTTCACTTAAAAAGAATAAAGAACATTAACTCAAAAACTAAATCTATCTTGCAAAAGTGTAACACGTCTAAACACAATGGCGAAGATATGATTAATTCTAAAGCTAAAGTAATACCTTCACAACTTTGTCTAATCTATTACTGATGTGATAATATAAAATTCATGTCAGACCTAATTATAGTTTTATTTCTTTAAATAAAAGATATCCTGGCTGCTATAGCCTTCTCTTTGTATTACTAATAGGGTTGATAAGTAGGTCACCAAACAGTTCTTTGGCTCATGCAGGTTTTATTAAGCCGTAGAACTGATTGGTGACCAACTTACCAGCCCTATTGGAAGTGTGATCACAGATATTTGTGAGCTGAATTTCACTTGTGATTGCGACTGTAGCTATGGTCAGATTTTATGTCTGTTCAGTAATTTTAGGAAGCTGCTGGAATCATTATCATCATCGTTTCCTTTTGGCACCCAAGACACATGGGGAGCCGGACGTTTTCCCGAAAGACACTTGCCCGAATGCCGTTTGTCCGAAGGCCGATTTCCCGATTGGACACCTGCCCGAGGCTTACTAAGTCCAAAATATAGTACTGCATCACAGACGACAAAACCTGTATAACTCGGTATTTGACTTCGTGGTCGGATGGTAGTTCGTTAGCCTGTTATCCCAAAAGTCTAGAGTTCGAATCCCGGGCTCGAAACCATAGGACATCTCTGCCTCCACCCAACTCTGATGGGTACCAGTGTTTCTTCCAGACTTTTTTCTTCGGAGCACTTGATATTTTCGGGGGGGGGGGCAACATTTTCAGGGGGGGGGGTAAGGCGGGCACTAGTAAAGGTATATGTTTGCTATATTAAGTGTCCATCTCGTTCGGGGGGGGGGGGGGGGTGGTAGACTTTCTTCGGGGGGTCCCCGAAGAGATGCTTGCAATGTTAGAAAACGAATTTTAGTCGTTATTTCGCGTTTTAGAAAACTGTTTTAATAAATTGTAATAGGAATTGATTAAATACTCCATTTTGACAGAGTTCAGACAAGATTTTGGAAAAATATCGATGTTTTAATAAAAATTCAATTGCAATTTTGAGGGGGGAGGGGTTGTAGGCTGGGGTGTGACGTCATTTCAGGGGGGGGAGGGCCTGGCTTTTTGTGACGATGTGTGACGGAGGGGAGGGGGGAGGTAAAAATCGTCAAAAAAAGCGTGACGTCATTTATGAATGACCCCATGTTCAAAAGGGTAACGTTTTTTTCAGTTACTCATTTTCAACAGTCGACTTCATTTTTTTTAAATTAAACGAGGAACGTTGTAGATGTAAATTACAAGAACAACAATCTGTTCGCTTTAATCTGATTTGATGCAAAAGCAATTACTAATTATAATAAACCGGGAGTGATCTCCACTAAACTTACTTCGAATATTCTTATATAAAACAACAGGGGATGGGAACTCGGGATATAAACATGAATTTTAATCCATTTTAAATACTTAAACTTTTTAAAATAGAATAAAATCTCGTAGAAAAATAAAATTGCACACCAGTGAACGCCAAAAACTTTGCATAATAGTGCGCAGTATTATTAGTACTTTATAAATTTACGTTAGATTTTGAGAAATCGGAAATAGCGTAAATTAGTACTTCCGGTCAACGGATTTTACTCAAAATTTAATAGAAGGTAGAGAATTAGATCTTCTACTTACATGTGAAATCTCATTGATCTATCTGAAATAGTACTCAAGTTATAGGCTTTTGAAAAATTCAAAGTAGAAAAAGTACCACTTCCGGTTATCGGAAATCGCTCAAAAGTTGATAGGGATCTACGATTTCGATAAAATACTTATATATAATATTTCATCAACCTAGCTGTAACGGTACTCAAGTTATCGTGTTTACAGCCACACACACAGACACACACACAGACATACACACAGACATACACACAGATATACGGACAAGATTGCAAAATTATGTCTTTTCGTATCAGTGAGGTGTAAAACGTCGAGATTTGCAAAAATCTCGATTTTTTTTTGCACGATTACAAGACTTTCTCTATACTTCGTATATACGAGAAAGTAAAAACCCATGAAAAGCTAACCACATTAAATTGATGTTTATTAATATCTAGACTATGAATTAGTCTCAAACACTTGAACATCTTGCACCGTCAAATTGCACACTCTTGTCTTGCTGTTGAACAGCCATGAAGAGCTGCTGTCTATCGAGATGCATCGAAAATCCATACGTGGTTAGTAATGTCACAATTTGTCCCAATTTGTCACAATGTGCCACGAAATCCCATTATAGATATTTTTTTCTCTTTACAGTTGGTCTACGTGATAAAGTTTAACTTTATGGTTTAAAATCAGGACTAGGGTTTTGGTCAGATAAACATATTGTTATATCAAGACTTAGATTAAAGTTTTGAGTCTAGAGCAATAGTTCGTAGCAATGTGAGTTAGGTTTTAACTTTGCGTTACCAGCAAATATACTGTTTCTTAAGCTGGCGCTACATGTATCTAGATCTAATCCTCTCATATTTTCGTATATACATTCTATTATGCTTCAAAACTAGTTTAAGGTACAATATTTTAAAAGCTACACGTCATTCTAAAAATAGCACCAATTAAAATTGCGCGGCAAAGAAAAACGGAAGTCGGACATGTTTGGATTGTATGTACTCAGCCAAATCAAGAAGTCACATCATTCATGTAGAAAAAATATCCGCTTCCTAATCTGCTGCTTATTAAATCATATTTATTTAAAGTATTTTCTTTGCTAAATATTTTATAGGTAAAACATTATTTAATAATTAATGACGTGTTACATTATTTTGACTTCGTACTTAGCTATATTAGCTAAATCAATCTTAATCGAAATCAATGTATGCTAATCTGCTGCTTATTAATTCATATTTATGACACATTCATTTAAAGTATTTTCTTTGCTTATTATTTATAGGTAAAACATTATTTAATATTTAATGACGTTTTACATTACTTTGACTTCGTACTTAGCTATATTAGCTAAATCGATCTTGATCTAGATCTAAATCAATTTATGCTAATCTGCTGCTTATTAATGTATATTTATGACACATTCATTGAAAGTATTTTCCTTATTTAATCTTTTATAGGTAAAACAATTTAATAATTTTAATAATTAATGACGTTTTACATTACTTTGACTTTGTACTAAGCTATATTAACTAGATAGATCTAGATCATGATCTAGATCAATGTATTACCTTCTCTAAAAAAAAGCGACCGATATTCGTGTACAATTGTATAATTAAGGCTTGTTTCTAATTAATTATCAATACTAACCTTCTGATGTGGCTAGTTTTTCTGTGAATGTATCGAAAACAGATTATTTTTCTGTGGAGTTTGTGTTAAGTTAGATAAGATAGTAAAAGTAGTAAAACATATATGTCGTAAGGGATAAAATGTAACTGTGTTAAGATTCGATGTTAAGTAAAAGGCTTTTAACCCAGGGTTATATCTAAAAGTAATCTTATTTTTAGAGTGTAACTTTACATTTGTTAAATAAATAATCACCATCCTTGATACAGTATTGTAAAGTACGCTGCCAGATAAAAATGTCTTACACACAATTTCATGTACCCTAAAGCAAACCAAGCGATATAGACTAATATTGGCACAAAGTTTAATCCTTTACATAATCCTAACCAGTTGCTTTATCAAAGTATATAACCTTAACTTATCCATGCATCAATACCAATCTTTCTGACTATTCCATTACGATTTTGTATTCCCATGTCAACATTTGAATAAACTAAATTATGTGGGAATGGCTAATTGATAAGAGTCAAAAGTTTTAATATCTAAGAGTCTAAGACTAAACCAAATTTATTTTGGCTAAGGAATGACTGGCGTGCGGACCATCAAGAAGTAGCCGCTCGGCTTCTGAACTACATGAAAACAAAAGGATTCAGTGAGTTGAGAAAATAGGCAAGTGAATGAAGACTGAAAAAAAAAATTACTTATCTTTTAGCCAGCCCCACATATTCGGAACACGATCAGTACGAGTACTAAAATAAATAATTCTTGCACCACTAAACAAGTCATAACAAAATATAAAGCGTTATATATTCTTTACATGATAATAATTATTTTAAATTAAATCCAATGGTTGCATGACAAATAGCCCAAGACAAGATATCTCAGGACTAAATTTCTGATAACAATAATACTATGTATTTACTAGTTAAAGCACTGTTTAGTCTAATCTCTGGGCATTATAAAAATACATCCGAGTTTTTTTTCTCGAAATATTCGCATGGAAGTTTATTCCGTTGAAGTATAAATTTTACCACCAAACCATATCTCCCACCTAGGGACGTGTACAGTAATTCCTGAGACAACATCCGGTACGGTCACCAAACTACCCCGACCAATGTACTCATACCTTACGACGCTTACCGTTGTTTATCAGACAACATCCGGTAACGCCCTCCAAGACAATATCCGGTGACGACCTCACAGACAAACAGTGTTTCTGCCAGACTTTTTTCTCCGGGGGTGCACTTGAAATTTTCGGGGCGGGGGGGGGGGGGGCGGACACTGATAAAAATATATATTTTCTATATAAATTCCATTTCGTCCGGGGGGGGGGGGCGGTAGACTTTCTTCAGGGGGAAGAAAGAGATGCCTGGAATAAACTCTGCAGACAACTTCCGGTGACGCAATCCCCGACGACTTCCGCAACGATCACCATTTTACCGCTGACTTAATCTTAGTAAAGTAAACTTTCCCTTTTGAACCTGGTTGTCTATTAAGCAGATGAAGTAGAGTTCACTTGTTTCTTTCATCTCGGCATATGAAGTTATTGTGTGGTTAGCCTTATGCCCAGTCGCTTTTACTTTCCCTAACGTGAGTAAGGTACACATCAGAACTGGGCGGACGTATTGAACTCCTACAAACTCGAGCCCTAGATTAGAACACTGGACTTTCAGCTTAGCTTATTTACCGTCCCGTCAAGCCTTATCCTATTACCCCTCGTCGTTTATCCTTATTCCCCAGACAATTTCCGGTGACGCCGCCCCCAACTATTTCCGGTGACGCCGTCTGAAAACACTTCCGGTTACGCAGCCCCAAACAACTTCCGGTGACGCCACTCCTTACAAATTCCAGTGACGACGGCCCAAACAACTTCCGGTGACGATTCCCAAAACAACTTCCGGTGACGCCGCCAGGAACAACTTCCGGTGACGCTACCCGAAAACGACTTCCGGTCACCATTTGACCTCCACCGAATGTCCTCTCCTCCCCAGACGTCGCCCGTGATGATATGTTGTGGCGGGTCCAAGGCACAGAAGCAGAAGCGACTGGAGGAGGAGAGCAAGGACTCAACGACCCGGGGCCAGGAGCTGTACAAGCCGCTGCTCAACGATAACCTCGTTCTGGTACAGGTGGGTCAAGGTCACAGGTAGCCTTTGGTCAAGACATTACCTTGGTTCAGATAGGTAAACTAGGTCAAGGTTACAAGTAGCCGTTGGCCAAGTCAACATCACTATGGTACATGTAGGTAAACTAGGTCAAGGTTATAATCAACCGGTTGCTGGTCAACACACCATCATCTTGGTGGGTCTAGGACATTACCCCCCCCCTCCTTCCATTACCCCCCCCCCCGGAACAATTACCCTTGTCAATTACCTCCCTATCAATAACCCCTCTGGGGAATTAAACCCCCTCCCCAAGTTCATAAATCCTGACTCCAAATCTGTAACAATATATTACCTTAATACTAACCTTGATAAAAAGCCTAAACCTAAACATTCCCCTCAGCCTTAAACAAAACCCAAACCCTACCCCAATCGTAGATTTGTTTGAGTCCACCCCATAACCCTAGACATTGATTTAAGCCTAACCCTAACCTAACCCTAACCTAACGCTAACCCTAACTCTATCCCTGAATTTAGACAAATAGTGTATATATATATATATATATATATATATATATATATATATATATATATATATATAATTATTATTGTCTGTCACACCAGATTCAGATGGTATTTCGTCATGGGGCACGAACACCGCTTAACTTTGTTAAAGGTCTTGAGGAGGTAAGCCGATAGGTAAAGGTGTTGTCTAAAGGTAGGTCATGTTAAAGGTGTTGTCTAAAGGTGGGTCATGTTAAAGGTGTTGTCTAAAGGTGGGTCATGTTAAAGGTGTTGGTCTAAGGGTGGGTCATGTTAAAGGTGTTGTCTAAAGGTGGGTCATGTTAAAGGTCTTGAGGAGGTAAGCCGATAGGTAAAGGTGTTGTCTAAAGGTAGGTCATGTTAAAGGTGTTGTCTAAAGGTGGGTCATGTTAAAGGTGTTGTCTAAAGGTGGGTCATGTTAAAGGTCTTGGTCTAAAGGTGGGTCATGTTAAAGGTCTTGAGGAGGTAAGGCGCTTGGTACAGGTGTTGTCTAAAGGTGGGTCATGTTAAAGGTGTTGTCTAAAGGTGGGTGATGTTAAAGGTCTTGGTCTAAAGGTGGGTCATGTTAAAGGTGTTGTCTAAAGGTGGGTCATGTTAAAGGTCTTGAGGAGGAAAGCCGCAATGTACAGGTGTTATCTAAAGGTGGGTTATGTTAAAGGTCTTGAAGAAGTAAGTCGCTAGGCACAGGTGATGGTTTAAAAGTGGGTCAGTTGCTTCCCAAAACCAAACATCGTTTTCTGTAGTTTAGACAATTTGCCTCTGTTTACACATTCTTCCATAATTTAGATAATTTTACAATTTTTAACAATGCTTTTTAGTTTAGAACATCTTCGACAATTTACCATGATTAAACTATTCTACGTATTTTACACAATAAATTATGACAGAAATGTCTAAATATGGACGATAATTTAAAGTTTGGGCATTTGTCCAATTTAAGCTAAAGACATTTTGTCACGTAGTGAACAGATTTCTATAGTATAGACAATATTCCATGCGATAGATAATTTACCACAGTTGGATATTTCTTCGTCATTTAGATAATTGTCCCAATTGATACAATTTACTTTAATTTAGACAACTGTCCCCAGTTCAGACATTATTACCATTATTTAAACGTTTTTCCACCGTTTTGTCACCCCCCCCCCTTACAGGCCACCTATGACATCTCCCTGGAAGAGGACATCGAGGAGGCCGACTACGATATGGAGGTCGTTAAACTCAACGATGGCTCCCCGGCCGGCAAGTCATCCATGGAGCCGGACTTGAGGGCCAGGAAACTAAAGGTCAGAGGTCAACTGCAGTTTATTTTGATGGGTTTACTTCTTAAGAGAAATTGAAAAAGTCATGAAAGTAATGGGAAAGAGTTGGAAATAAATAGAAAAAAATACAGCAAAGACTGAAGCGCATTGAAAGATGTAAATAGCTAATGATCCAAATGAGTTGCAAAGAGCGAAGAAGAAGAGTATTGTTATTATCATTGTTTTTTAAAAAAAGTAACGTACCGTTATATGATGCAAAAGAAGTAGCGTTCACCTGTTTACGTGACAACGGCAATTGAAGGGATAGTGTGGTCAGCGCCATACCGCGCTGCTTTTACTTTCCCTAACCTGAGACTAGTACCCATCAGAACTGAAGAGACTTTCGGGTTAAAAGTCGCTTGATCATTCACATACGCTGTACAAAAGTACAGAGGCGTCGCTAGGAGGGGGACGGGGGTACATATGTACGACCTTAGGGGGCGCCAAAATGGGTAGGAAAAAAAATTGAAAGCTCATTTCAGCTGCAGTTTTGCATTCTAAATATAAAAATTATATGGGAGGGGGGGGGGCAGATTGAAAGTTTGTACCCCGGGGGGGGGGGGGGGGGGAAGGGTCGCTACGCCTCTGCAAAAGCGCGACGCTATATATATATGATAATTCAACCGAAGTATCATATTCAATCAGTAAAATTATAATAATATCTTAACTATATTTGTAAAACATTCTTAAATTTATCTTATTTATAAATGGTGGTATATTGGAGAAAGAATTTTTGAAAATGTGTATTTTCATGTGAGTAGGGCGGTGCGCATGCGTCAATCTTGACGGCAGTCGGACAGAGACAGATGTACAATTTGGGGGTTGTTATTCGCAACTCGTACCTGCCTGCGCTCAATCTTTATCATTACAACACAAGGGACGTATAGTAAGTCAGCAGTCAGTGTTTGTGTCCAAAGTCAGCTAGTAGCTCAGTCAGCAGTCAGATAGTAACTCAGCAGTCAGATAGTAGCTCTGTCAGCAGTCAGTAGCTCAGTCAGCAGTCAGATAGTAGCTCAGTCAGCAGTCAGTAGCTCAGTCAGCTAGTAGCTCAGTCAGATAGTAGCTCAGTCAGCAGTCAGATAGTAGCTCAGTCAGCAGTCAAATAGTAGCTCAGTCAGCAGTCAGATAGTAGCTCAGTCAGCAGTCAGATAGTAGCTCAGTCAGCAGTCAGATAGTAGCTCAGTCAGCAATCAGATGGTAGCTCAGTCAGCAATCAGATATTAGCCCAGTCAGCAGTCAGATAGTAGCTCAGTCAGCAGTCAGATAGTAGCTCAGTCAGCCAGTAGCTCAGTCAGATAGTAGCTCAGTCAGCAGTCAGATAGTAGGTAAGTCAGCAGTCAGCTTGTAGCTCAGTCAGCAGTCATGATTTCTTTTTTTATAGTCAGCACAATTCATGTTTTTTTTCGTGTAGCAAGGACTGTTTATTTTGTCAGCAGTAATTTTTTGGTGAAGTCAGTAGTCATGTTTCAGTTTACGTCAGCAGTCATATTTATATTTAAGTCAGCAGTTTAAAGTCAGCGATTATATTTATATTTCAGTCAGCAGTCCTATTTAGGTTAAATTCAGCAGTCATATTTAGGTTTCAGTCAGCAGTCATATTTAGGTTTCAGTTAGATTTAAGTCATAAGCAACTGGTAGTATCCCACCCTCAACAATATCATTACAACATGTTATTTTGTCAGTATTCAAGATTGTTTTAAATTGTAAAAATCATGTTTTAAATTAAAGGTCTTCATACTGTTACAAGTGGTAATAAATCTAATATTGTTGAAAACTGAAAATTAATTAGCTAAAAATTTGAAAATTAAGTTTAAAACACAAAATCTCTAAAATTATTTTTTTTTTTAAATTGGCGAGTAAATTAGAAAATTAAGTTTAAAAAAAATATCTAATTGTATTATTTAAAAAGCTAATAAACTAGTTAAATAATCTTAAAACGCAAAATTTATAGTGGTATTATTTTGATTAGTTAATAAATTTGAAAATTAAGTTAAAATATCTAACGGTGATATTTTAATTAAAAACTAAGCTAAAACCACAAAATATCTCTATTATTTTAATAAGCAAATAAATTAGAAAATTAAGCTAAAACCACAAAATCTCTCTATTACTTTAATAATCAAATAAATTAGAAATTTTTGCTAAAACCACAAAATTTCTCTATTACTTTAATAAGCTAATAAATTAGAATATTAAGCTAAAACCACAAAATCTCTCTATTACTTTAATAAGCAAATAAATTAGATAACTAAGCTAAAACCACAAAATCTCTCTATTATTTTAATAAGCAAATAAATTAGAAATTTTTGCTAAAACCACAAAATCTCTCTATTACTTTAATTAGCTAATTAATTAGAATATTAAGCTAAAACCACAAAATCTCTCTATTATTTCAATAAGCAAATACATTAGAAAACTAAGCTAAAACCACAAAATATCTCTATTATTTTAATAAGCAAATAAATTAGATAACTAAGCTAAAACCACAAAATCTCTCTATTATTTTAATAAGCAAATAAATTAGAAATTTTTGCTAAAACCACAAAATCTCTCTATTACTTTAATTAGCTAATTAATTAGAATATTAAGCTAAAACCACAAAATCTCTCTATTATTTCAATAAGCAAATACATTAGAAAACTAAGCTAAAACCACAAAATCTCTCTATTACTGTAATAAGCCAATGTGTTGTTGTTACAATTTGACCTCACCCAGCATCAGATCCTCTCATGTTGAACGTACTGTAAAATCCATCAAGTGCCTGCTGGCTGGAATCTTTGGCAAAGATGATCTCAACAAGGCAGGTAGGAACCTCACTGTGGTTACTGTAAGCATCTTTATTTTTAACAAGAAATTTAGCACCGAAATCTATAAAATATATAGGTAACAAATTAGGCTTACATCTCTCATAGATATTTGAGTAAGATTTTATAAAAATAACTGTTTTTTTAGCGTTTAATTTTCTTTTATTAATAAAGTATAGTTTAAAAATACGTAATTTAATGTATAACGTATCGTATTTAAGTGAAGCAGATTTTTAATCTCTCCTTATCAGTATCTATATTCGTGTCTCTTTCTTAACATGCCAAGATCTCTATTTTATCTTACTCTCTGCCTATAGGGCTGGTAAGTAGGTCACTAAACAGTTCTACGGCTTAATAAAACCTGCATGAGCCATAGAACTGGTTGGTGATCTACTTACCAGCCCTATAATAATGTAGCTGTCTCTAACTATCTAAATCTCACTATCTATCTCTCTTTCTCTCCCTATATATATATATATATATGAATATATATATATATATATATATATATATATATATATATATATATATATATATATATATATATATATATATATATACATATATATATATATATATATATATATATATATATATATATATATATATATATATATATATATATTACATACATTTATATATGTGTATGTACACTTGTCTCTATTTACTCTAACTCTCTCTCTCTCTCTATCCTCTAAAATTCCCTAACTTTACAGAATATCTCTATCCTCCCCCTCCCCACAGGGCCTATCAAGCTGCCCGTGAAGCACATGTTTGAAGAAGACATCTTCCCCAACAAACTGGCCTGCCCCGCCCTCCGCCTCATCATTGACCTGACCCTGTCCAACATCGATTCACTCCCCGGCATGAAGCAAGACCGACAGACCGTGACCAAGGTCATGGGTAGGTTTCAGCCCCCACCCCCAACCCCCACCCCCGGGCACGAAGCAAGACCGACAGACCGTGACCAAGGTCATGGGTAGGTTTCACGCCGCCCCCCGACCCCCACCCCAACCCCCACCCCCGGGCATGAAGTAAGACCGACAGACCGTCACCAAAGCTATGGGTAAGTTTCAGCCCCCACCCCCAACCCCCACCCCCGGGCAAAGCAAGGCCATGGATAGGTTTTAATCACGTCACTGCCGTTATGAATACATTGGTTGACGCCACAACTATGTATCATTTGTACGAGGTTAGAAATACTAGAAAAGAGAGTTTCATGACTTGTTCAAAGTTACGAGTAATTTTAATGAAGTTTTCAAAGCATGTATTATAATATCAACAGAACTTATACAGTTCGTTAGTTTCCTAATAAGCGTATCATCATCGTTTCTCGTTCGTGTCAAAGACACATGGTGCAGATGAAGTAGAGTTCTTCTATTTAAATGACCTCTTCATGTGATGGAATAGTGTGGCCAGCACAATGCTCAGCTGCCTTTAGTTTCCCTAACGTGAGTCTGGTACCCGTTAGAGTTGGGTGCTCTCAGGGACGTTACCTTTGTTTTACAGGTGTGTCTACTAACGTTACCTGTGTTTTACAGGTGTGTTCCCTAATTATACCTGTGTTTTACAGGTGTGTCTCATAACGTTACCTGTGTTTTACAGGTGTGTCTCCCAACGAAGTAGACTTTGCGTGTCTGAGGGACGACATCACCTCGCGGATTGTAAGTACATTTCGTCGGTGGCTTTGTTGGATGATGGATGCTTTGTTGGATGATTGATGTATGGATGATGGATGCTTTGATGGATAATATAAGCTTTGATGGATGGAGGATGCTTTGTTAGATGATGGATGCCTTGATGGATGTCGTGCTTTGTCGTGTTGGCTGATGAATGTTTGATGGATGTTGGATATTGTGTTGGATGTTAGATGCTGTGATAATTTCCGGATTCTTTGTTGGGTCCTTTGATGGATATGGATACCATGTTGGATGATGGATGCTGTGTTAAATATTGAATGCTGTGTTTGGTACTGTGTAAGAAGTTGTGTTAGAAGCTTGTATTGAATGTTGGAAATGGTGTTGGATACTGGATGGTGTTGTGGATGAGGGATGTTAAAACTGTGCTGGATGTTGGATGCAGTTTAGGGTGTTGTGTGTTTTGTTCAAGGGTGGATGATCTGTTTGATGGTAAAGGGTACTCTACATGACGTCTGATGTGTGAGATGCTTGTTTCTGCAACTTTTGTTGGATGCTGAATGTTTTTTTGTTGGGTGCCGTATTTCTTTTTGTGCGAATATTAGTTAGATACCGGCTCATTATTACCAGCGTTTGTAACCAACAAAACTATCAGCTACAAATGTTTTCATTATAATTTTTTTTCACCATCTAACACTTGAAGATATTATTATCTTCCCTTGTATCACTTTTCCTAATCCTGACCCCCCCCCCCTCCTTACAGACCCACGGGAACGAATACCCACCCATGCTGCTACCCTACAAGCACATGATAGAAGAAAACGCCGCTAAAGTTATACACGCGGTGTATGCTGGAAGGACTGGGTAAGAACGGTAACTCGTGATGTGTAGAATACATTACGTAAAGAATGGTTTTATTTCCATACATAACTACTGTCAATAAATGTGTTTCATATGATGAGTTTGATATAAAATATCAAACCCTTATCTGCAAGAGTGGCTTTCGACTTGTATTGTCTTGTCAAATTTGTATACACAAACAAATGAGATATATTTGTAACCAGACAATAAACTCTTCTGAAAATAGGTGTTAGGTTATTAGTAATATTCTTATACAGTGTTTAGAGTAAGGGTCAGAAATTAGGTTTAGGGCCAGGATGGGTTTTAGGGTTTGGGTTAGCGGACGATTAGTGTTACTATTAAAAACTTAAAACCACTTTTTAAAGATTCCATTAATGTTGAAATTTCTGGCTATGGAATAACACATTTCCAAAAATGTCTTTATAAAACATATTTTTCCGTTTTTTCCCGTCTATATTTTTTTTTCTTTCCTTGTAATCGTTTCTCTTTTTTTTTTAGTATGGGTAATTGAAGTAGAGTTCACCACACCGTAGGGGTCGGCGTGGTCGAGTCGGCAAAACTCATGGTTGCTAAACCGAAAAGACTCGAGTTCGAACCCTCGGGCAGTTGAGGCTCGTTAGCTGGGGACAGCCACTCTTCTAGGAGAGACAACTCCCAAATTAAACAACTGCTGCCTTGTAGTTTGAAATCGGAGTCGGCGGCCTCAATGGCGCATAACAAGTTGATACTTAGCGCTTAATTGTGTTGGAGGCGTGGTCGAGTCGGCAAAAAGCGCATGGTTGATAAATTTGAACAAAAGTCTCGAGTTCAAACCCACTGGCAGATAAATCTCGATCCCCTTCAACACTAATAATTAAGAACGAAGAAGAAGAAGACCACACCGTACATATATTTATGTCTGCTCGCTAGTTATCATAAGACCGAGAAAACATTTCGCCCTTTTATAAACCTGCTAAGTTTGATCCTATATCCGTGACATTCCAGCCTCTCCTTCCTCCTGCTCGAAAGTTTCTCCATGACGTTTTCGGCCGGACCTCCTTCCTATCTAGTGCTACTATCTGCCTTTTCTTATGGGTCTCCCTTAAAAACAAAATTGACTAGACTATATCCAATTTCTTTTTCTTAAGGTGATTGGTTATAATGATGATCAAACAACTTTTCGTGATTTCATGATGTGAAGTGTATAAGTTTTCCGTCAAATCGACTTTTTCGCTTAGCACTTGATTGTGTTAATAAGAAAGAGATAGATTTTGTGAAATCTCATGATGCATACATGGTTAGTCCACCAATCGAATTCGTTTACTTTCAGTGGCCGAAACCGACACGACGTAACGAAGCTTTCCATTGGTCAGCTGCTCTACACATTATTATACAATATAGAAAACGGAGCGGATGAAAAAACGTAAGTGATAACATAAATATGCATTTGAATTTTACTATAGGGTGCGTGAGTCGTCAGATTAATCTACATGTGACTTTAACAATCTGGTATTTAGGGGGCCACATGCATGTACAAATGACTTTAACTGAAGATTATACACGAGGCATTTATTCCTATAAAAGACGTAGTTAACTTTCTGGTTGCAAAAACGTCGAGTTAGAAAAGCAGGTTAGGATTAGAGATTTGGGTCTCTTTTAATTTTTTTAACGTCTAACTCAGATGCTATAAATAAGTTTTGAAATTCCTTACTGTATATTTTTCCCATTAGCTTAGGCTTAGGCTATGATTAACTATTTTCTTGAAATTAATGTCTACTTAATATTAAAACGTCTCTTCTTAAAATTTACACTTCTATTATCTAGTTCCAATTTTTACAGACAGAAACTATCGTATACGTAATACTCAACTACTCTCATTTCAGGTGTCCAAAATTATACCTATTTTCAGGTCACGACACGACCTTGGCCCCGATGCTGGTGGCCTTGGGAATCTGGGATTGTCGATGGCCACCGTTCAGTGGGAATATTTTATTCGAGTTGTATAAACACAAGGAGACGGATCAGTTCTTTGTGAGGGTCTTGTACTGTGGTGAGGTGAGGGTTCAAAGGTTAAAGTTCAGTGGGAATATTTTATTCGAGTTGTATAAACACAAGGAGACGGATCAGTTCTTTGTGAGGGTCTTGTACTGTGGTGAGGTGAGGGTTCAAAGGTTAGGGTTAAACGTTAGGTAATGTAGCAAATATTTTAAGGATCTGGTGGGTATAGAGCAGAGGCGTAGCGACCCTTCTTGGCGCCTGGGGACAAACTTTTAATTTGGCGCCCCCCTCGGGAACAACCTTTCAATTTTCAATTTGCACACCCCCCCCCCTCAAACACATTCCATTTGCACACACCCCTTCCCTCGATATATTGTGTATATTTCTAATGCAAAACTGCAGCTAAAATGATATTTTAATTTGTTTTTCCAACCCATTTTGGCGCCCCCTAAGGTCGACGCCCGGGGACATATGTACCCCCCTCCCCACCCCTCGCTACGCCTTTGGTTTAGAGCTGAGTGGCGAAGAGTGGACACTCACCTACTCAGCCCAATCCCCCCCCCTACTCCCTAAATGATATTATCCGGTGCGAACCGCACCCTATCCCATTCCCGGTACCGTGTAACGCTAATAGGTTATAGTTAAGGTCTAGCAGATATATGCTATGTTAGTTGTATAAATAGATGGATATGTATCAAATCATTGTGAGGATTTTTTTACAATAGTGATGTAAGGTACTTGTCAAAAAAAAACTTGACAATAAACATGTCACAAAAGTTTTCATACAACGTATAACATCACTTGTCAAACTACGTGCTAACCTAGTTGTTAAAGAACGTGTCAAACAACTGCAACAGATTTACTTCCCTTCCATCCCCAGCCGAAAAAGATTGGATATCAGGCCAGGATACTACTTCCTCTAGACGAATTCAGGAGAATTATTCATCCGTTTTTGATCATGCCAGGTAAAGGACGATTTGTGCATTAAATTTTAACGGTCCAATAATGATAGCCAGTGGCGTAGCGAGGGCGGGACGGGGGGTGCGGACCGCACCGGGTGACACCATTTAAGGGGGGGGGGGGGGTAACACCATGGCAGAAAATTGCAGAATGTACAGACTATAGATAAACATCGTTACTATTAAGTCTGCAGTGTACTCGTACGTGGCATATGTTTAAATTATAGGCCTATGTAGGCTGACACACAGACACACACACACACACACAGACACACACACACACAGACACACACTTATAAATATAAATTTTGTTTCTTGTGTGTGTTGGGGGGGGGGGGGGGTGACACCGCAAAGTGCCGCACCGGGTGACACCCGACCTAGCAACGCCACTGATGATAGCTCATGTGTCGTTGATTAGAATGTACACAAATTACAATTCATCAATTATGCTACACCCAGTGTTTCTTCGGTCGAGTTATCTCTTCGGCGGGGCGGAGCCCCCCCCCCCCCGCCCCCCCCCCCCCAACCCTCACCGACGAAATGGAAATTTATATAGAAAATATATACGTTTACCAGTGTCCGACTCCTGGAAAGTTTAGTCCGCCCCCCCCCCCCCCCACCCCCACCCCGCCACTAAAAATATAAAGTTCAACATCTCATGTCACGAAACACATTTGTTTTATGTGCAGTTACTGTTACATTAATTAGATTTTTAATTAACTTTTTATTTAATTGTTTTTAATTGGGTTTTTTTTTGTGGTGTGTTTTAAGGTCAGTTCAATCAGGTCTGTGCTCTTCAAAATTTTGCTTGAACAACTTTTACTGGAATCACGTTTTTTACTACGGAGGAAAAAGTAGCACTACGGCGAAACAAGACCACACATCACGGCAATATCAGCAAGATGAATAAACAATTTAAACTACGGGAAGATCTGATGAGAGTACAGCTTTTTGTAAAATTGGATACAATTGCCATGTTTGTGGAGACATGGAAAACATACTCACAAGCATTTTTTCTTTTATAGTTGAATATTTTGAAAAAATGTCGTTTTGAGAAAGTGGGACATGGTCATGTTGAAAGTGAATTCGAATAGAGTAAAATAATTGAGATAGAAGTGGATGCTAAATTAACATTACTAATGTGTGAATATTGTCATTAAAATTACACCACTTAATGCGAGTCGGTTTTCTCAGTTTGTTGAGATAATTTTTATTTTAAACAGATATATTATGTAGCTTCATTTCTTAGATGTTGATTTACTTTGTGTTACCTCTAAATTGCTTTAAGCATTGAAACGTTCAGTTTCGTCATTTTGAAGCGACTTTACTTGTGTTGAGAAGTGCAGCGATTATCCACAGGTGTTTTACGATATCTGAATTTTAATTTTAAGCAAACTAATACTAAAAAGTTCCCTTTTCGAAAGTAGAGTTTACCTGTTTCTGTGACCTCGGTATTTGAAGGGATAGTGTGGTCAGCACTATGCCCAGCTGCCTTTACTTTCCCTAATATGATTTAGGTAACCATCAGAGCTGGGTGGACTCAGGGACGTTCTACTTACTAGGACCTGGATTCAAACTCGAGAATTTCTGGTCAGTATTTTAGCGCTCTACTTCTAGACCACGCAGTCCCATTTTGTTTAAGAGTACAATGAAAATCTCTGTGTGTTTCACTATATCTAAGGTATTTTTTAAATAAAATTAACACTTAACTTCCAGCATCTATTTTTAAACAGCTTCTGTCCCGCCTTTACGGCAAATGATATGCTTTAACGTCATGTCTAAAAATAGTTTCCTGAACCCGCTGTTCAGGAAAACATAGACGAAAAAATTACTGGCACTGCTGAAGAGAACTAGGGCCACTAAAAACTCTCCAACGACGCGCGATTCGTCTGTCCCTGCGACCATAACGTCTTGAAATATGTACGACAGGATGAAGTAGGTCCCGTGAGCGATGGCGAAGATCAGAGAAACGGCTAGTAGTGTACGCGTAGTTCGTGAGGTGTAGGTTTTCTTGTGTTTGGTGAGTTTCCGGCGTCTTCGCTGGGCGATCCGGATCTTCAGGGCGATGAGGATGCAGGAGACGATGGTGATGGAGATGGGGAACACGCTGGTCAGGTAGTTGAGGGCGAGGAAATACAGAGGGAACATGATGTTGGCGTTGTCGAAAAAAAACTGGGAGTATACGTCGATGCCGTAGTAGACGTCTTCGGACAGGGTGTGGTACTCGAAGGAGAACCACGAAGCGTACACGAACACGCTCCAAAAAAGCCAGAAAAAATAGATTCCAGCCACGATAAAAATGGCCCTTTTGACAGTGACGACGGTTTTGAGACGTAAAGGAAAATACACGGCGATAAATCTTTCAAGGGTGATGACCGCTGGTAGAGATGTGGAGACGTACGAACCCCAGCCAACAAAACACATGATGGATTTTTCAACGACGAAGGCGAAAAATGCGAAGTTTTCCGGGAATTCCCAACCGTACACTAGAGGTCTAAGTTTAGACGGACCGAAAACCTTTAGTAGACTTGGAGCACTGATTGGTCGAATGAGATACAAAGAGTCTGATATAGTAAGGGCTAACAGAAACACGTTTGAGGGCTTTTTAAACCCACTTTGTATCAGTATACAAATGCTCAAGATATTTCCGATTAGTCCAATAATAGAAATGGATGGGTTGACAAAACATTTCATTGTTTGATAGATTATTTCAATTTCCCACCGAATATGATCGCTTCGGTGCTCCATAGTATTGTTTTGCCTGGCTTTACAAATATAGTTGTAGAGAATTTCCTTGTCACACAAGTCATAACACTCACTCATGTTTCGTGTTTCTTCCATGTTTTTAGTTTCGAAAACAAAAACTATGACTATCCAAGTGTATCCAATTTTTTTTTCGTATCAACAGATATTCCAACCATTAACTTAAGATAATCTTAGACAAATTTGTTTCTTATAATTCTATAAAGAAACAATTCTATATATTTTATTTATAGATAAAATATATTTTACAAGTTGGATACACAGACTTGCGGTGAATTTTTCTCAGCTGGATATAAAAACCATTTAAAATCCCGTCCGTTAATTACTGTATTTATTTAAACTATACTCTTAGTGCGGCTCTCTAATTACTGTGTTTATTTAAAATTCAATCTTAGAGCGTCACTCGATCGGTATCTGGTTTTATAATGATATTTTCTGTAACGGTACCTAGTTGTATTAGAGAGTATTATAAAGAATCAATAGGGCCGTATAATTGAATTTAAAAAAAAAAAACAGTTGCTGGAAATTAACAAAAAAAAACGTGCCTTTTTGACGCAACGAAAACAAAAGTTAAAATGGGTTTCAAGATTAAAACTACAGTGTTATTTATTTTATGACTCTGGGGAATATATTCAAGTTGTTTTCTCTCATTTATACATCATTTAATGTAAATCTAAAAATCAAATCCCCCAAATGTTCTAGTGTCGGCTTACAATTTATTATAAACAATGTACACATGTTCAAATAAATTATATAATCATACAGATAAATGGTGTTCCTCGTTTTTTAAAAACAACGCCAGATTTCCCTCCCTGAAATTATTATTTGTAAAGTACAATAAACTTGCGTTGTTACTAAAACTAACATTTATTTGTAATTTTTTATCCAATAATTATACTAGAAGAAACATACATTTGTGTTTATTTTTGTATAATTTAATACAATAAAGATCTTGAAAACTTTGGAAGAGCAGTATAGACAAAAAATAATGACATGTCTCTTTTTTTTAATACAGACGGTATTATACAAGGGAAACTACTGTAGTTAGAGAATAACGATCTTATAATAATAGATTACTTTGTTGTGTTTTTCTAACCTATTGTTTTCTGTGCCATCGCGGAAGAACATTCTCAGTAATTGATGTGGCGAGCATGGTTTGATGGTGATTAGACATTTAATTAAAACTGTTATTTTAAAATAACATACCTGCTTTCCGGGTAAATTGATGATTATAATGTATCGTTAGTTGAATTAAAGCTTTCAAGTGGTAAACATAACATCTGTGTAGATCTCCATCCAACTCTAACCATCTCTAACCATGTACAACCACATCCAGTCATATCCATTGACATCTAACCATGTTTAACTATAACCAACCATCTCCATGCATGACCAACAATACCTAATCATGTCCATCCATGTTCATCACCCCCAACCATCTGCAACCACTTCCAACCAAGCCCAACCACTTACAAACAAGCCCAACCACTTCCAAACAAGCCCAACCACTTACAACCAAGCCCAACCACTTCCAAACAAGCCCAACCACTTACAACCAAGCCCAACCACTTCCAAACAAGCCCAACCACTTACAAACAAGCCCAACCACCTACAACCAAGCCCAACCACTTACAACCAAGCCCAACCACTTCCAAACAAGCCCAACCACTTACAAACAAGCCCAACCACCTACAACCAAGCCCAACCACTTACAACCAAGCCCAACCACTTCCAAACAAGCCAACCACTTCCAAACAAGCCCAACCACTTCCAAACAAGCCCAACCACCTACAACCAAGCCCAACCACTTACAAACAAGCCCAACCACTTACAACCAAGCCCATCCACTTCCAAACAAGCCCAACCACTTCCACTTCGAAATTAGTCGCGTCTCGTAAGTGGACGAAATACGGATGCGCTGTTGTACTAAGAGCATCGCCTGATGTGGGTTTTTTTTCTGTGCTTAGGGCTTTATTTTGTTAGTATAGTATAGTGCTTTCCATTGCTAACCCGAAAGTCTCGAGTTCGAATCCCGGAAACCAATCTGAATGATGTTCCTGATTTCACTCAACTCTGGTGGGTACCTGTCTCGCGTTAGGGAAAGTAAAGACGGCTGAGCAAGGAACTGATCACATTAAATGCCGACGTAATACAACTGGATGGAGCCTGCTGTTCTATTAATTGCATTGTTCCGATTGGATAACTGACTTAGTGACTATCTATATATATAATTCTCTTCTGGGAGCCGATAGAAAACAAGCTGCAAGCGCGCGCCTTGCAGTCCCCTCTCTTCCTCTCCATCGCTACCCTCCCCCCCCCCCCCCTCACATGGTCAGATGAGTTGGAGTTCACGCTAAATGTTTAGTTTGGTGACGGCTATTAGGGGCAGATAATTCAGTTTGAAACTATTTTAATCTTAGAGGAGGTACCTAAGAGGAGGCTGCTTTCACTGGGGGGGATGGGGGTTTAGAGTTTTAAAGCAAATATTTTCAGTGGCAGCATTGGTACTGTCGAATTCACAAATTATGAATTACTGAAAAGTAGAAAAAAAAACAACTAAATAGCGGCGTATGATATGCCGCGGGTCGGCTCGTGGGATTTGTATAACTAGGACAGTGGGTTTTTTTTTCTGGAGACAATACTGTTTGGCTAGTTGTGTTTATATATTGGATTTTCGGCCATAGCTTTGTGTATTCCGTCTTGTAAGCTTGAATCAAAGAAATTATTTGTTTTCTCTTTAATTGTAAAGTCTTTGTTTTTATAGTAGCTTTATTTTAAAAATCATTATCAGAATGTTAAAAGATTTTAAAACATATGATTACAAATAGAAAACACACATTAAATGTTTTATTAGTAAGATTGTTATTGAATTTATTTAATAAGCTTTGTCATCAAAAGCAATAAATAAAAAGTTTTTTTAATGATAATTATAACTAAGTATAATGTGTGTATGCTGTAATTAAAAGCTTATTGTTCATGTAATAATTATCAGCAAGATAAGGAAAAAAAAATCAGAATACTTTTCAAATTGAAATTGAGTCATACAATTTATACGGACAAAAATAAAGATGGTTGTATTCACAAATATTTTAGGATCAGGCATGTTTTAGAGCGAGAAAATTTAACTGCTATTATATCTGGATGTGATGTGGTATTGTTATTACATTGCGATGTGATGTGGTATTGCTATTACATTGCGATGTGATGTGGTATTGCTATTGTATTCGGATGTGATGTGCTATTGCTATTACATCTGGATGTGATGTGGTATTGCTATTACATTGCGATGTGATGTGGTATTGCTATTGTATTCGGATGTGATGTGCTATTGCTATTACATCTGAATGCGATGTGGTATTGTTATTACAATTTCATGTGATGTGGTATTGCTATTACATTTGGCTCTCAAAATTACATACAAGTAAAAGACATTTCTCAGCATATAAAATAAAAATAATTGGTTGTTTTTTTTTACTATCCACTGGCATTGCAATAAAATTGGAAATTACCAGTGCAATGTGTAGATTTTCCAATCGAACAACAATTGTTTAGATAAAATGAATGTTACAGTTACAATAAACTAAACTTTTGACATATAAAAATTAAAATAAAAAAACCTCTAAGAAAAAGAGAAAAGACAAAAACCTTATCTAAGGTTAGATCTAAACTGTTTTGTTGAAATTAAACGGAACTAAATAGTTACTACAAAAACTAATTTTACATTCGATAAATATGGTCACTTTACTTATATTTCTTACAGTTTACTGCATTAATAAATCTAATTAATTATTTGCGACGAGTAATTGAAAGAACATTTTTGTATCTTGTAAGAAAAATTTAAAACTTGTAAATATAATAATAGACAAATACACTATCAAGACAGCAACATTAAAAAAAAGTAAATTATGAAAAATTAAGGTTTAAGATAACAGTCAACGGGCCAAAAACTTAAATACTGTCTAGGTGTTTCCAATTCATCGTAGATCTTAGGGTCAAAGTTCAATGGAATAGTTGACCATTCGTTTGTCGGAAGTCTGGCCACAGGTGTGTTAAACAGCAAGGCATCCTGCAGGTCTGTGGGCAGTTCTGACCTTTTGACCCTATCGATTCTCTCAGCCCCGTAGCCCATGTGTGACGACACGGTAATGAGGGCAAGCTTGACCAGTGGCCACGGTTCACTGAGTGCAGGTTTTATGTTGGCAGGGAGATAACTCTCTTTTTCTTTGAGTAATTTTAGGTCTTTAAGGTTTAAGTAGCAGTTTGCTAAACAGTATTTTACTATGTCCATTTTATTGACATTCAATGCTTGGCAGAGAATCGAAGATCCATTGAGTAAAACGTAAAATCCATTGCAAACAAACAACCTTATCATCTCAATCTTGTTTGAGAAAAGTTCTTGGAAATATATTTCTCTCATAATTTTATCGAACACCGTTGTTTTAAATTCAGAAGAATTGATTTTCATCAGTGGACTTATACCATTTTTCAAAAGAAACATAACGTTTATCATAAAGAATGTTGAATGGTTGTTTGGCTTTACTTTGAAGACGTAATACAAGGCCGTTCTATTTTTATTATCCTCGACATGCATGTTAAGCCCATAACTGCTATACAGCTCTACATATGTTTCAATGTTTGTGTTTTCATTTTTAGCGGCTTTCATCAAACAAGTTTTCCCCTTGTAGTCCTGTAAGTTGACAGAAACTCCAGCCTCTAACAAAATCTTCTGAATCGATTCATCTGTAGTGTACATTAAAGCAGATCTTCCTCGTGCGTCTGTTTTGTCCAAATCACCGACCGCCATAAAAAACTGTATCGCCTCTATTCTAGAATGTTTTACAGCCAACATAAGACCTGTTTCACCGTGTTCATTCACGCTACTAATGTCTACTCCAGCTTTTACCATCAGATCCAAGTGCTCATTACTATAGTTGCGAGCAAGGCAAACTGCCCATATTTGCGCCCCAAAGTCTTTCCGTTGGATAACCTCTGCTCCAGCTTCAAGGAGAATTTGAATTTTATAAGGGTTACCTCGTTGAACAGCTATCATTAATGCCGTGCTACCCTCTCTGTCTCTCTTGTTAACGTTGGCGCCGTGAAGAATCAGCAAGCTTAAAACTCGTGTGTCAAAACAATAATCTTCTAGTGCTAGCAACAGGGGCGTCTTCCCTGATCTGTTAACAGCGTCAGGGTCTACGCCAGCCTGAAGCAACACCTTCGTGATTTCAAAACATTTTAAGCCTAAATGTAAAGACGTGTTGCCATCAACATCTTTTATTGCCGCAGGTTTACCGTTAACTGATTTGGCAATGACGTCAGCTCCAGAAGAGATGAGAACTTTCAAGTTTTCTACTTTTAGATCACGTGATGCCAACATGACAGCGTTTCTGCCTTTGTGGTCAGTTTTGTTGACGTCACACCCAGACTTGATTAGCATGTGAAGACATTCAGTATTGCCGGCCACCATAACAGCTGTCTGACCGTGTTTATCTCTAGAGTTCACATCAACACCCAGTTGTATCATTAACTCGACAATTTCCGCATTGCCTTGTCGGGACGACTCGTGGAGACACGTGACGTTGTCCTTTACATCTTTTAAATCAGCTCCCGACTGAAGAATCAGCTTAACTAAATGAAAATTACGTCTGCGAATACTCATCTCCAACGGAGTTTTGCCAACCGAATTCACAACATTTACATTAGCGCCAGCTCTTACAAGGCGCTTGGCAAATTCCAACCATCGTCTTTGTTTTGACATGATAACAGCCATTAAAATAGTTTCCCCACGTTCATCCGTCAGTTCTAGATCTGCCCTTGCTTTTAACAGCAAGTCAACATAGCTCATATATTCAAGTCTAATACTATCCATCAAAGGTGATGTTTTTCTATCATCAATTTTATATTGAACATTGACATCGCTTGAGTAATCCAAAAGTTCTTTGACACAACAAAGATAGGTGTTTGATGGATTTAATTCTGGACTGCGTCCATTTATAGCATAGGCAAGAGCGTTGCAGCCTTTGGCGTCTCTGATATTGACATCGGTTTTAGCTTTAAGAAGAGCCACCACACACTCTGAAAGTCCTAACTCCGCTGCCAATATTAAAGCTGTTTTTCCTTCATCATTTTGTAAATTGACGTCAATGTCAAGTGTTGTCAAGTACTGTACAATCTCCACGCTTCTGTTTATGACAGCCAAGTGTAATACTGTCCCGGAATTCCCTGCTACATGTTTAGGAAAACGTGTATTCAGTTCAGCCTTCTCACGAACAAACAATTTAATGATATCGAGGTTATTGTTTTTTACGGCTAAGAAAAGTGGCGTCTGTCCTAAGTTATTAGTAACATCGATTTTCGCTCCTGTAAAGAGAAGTACCTTAACGAAGTCAACTTGTTTATCAACCGGAAGTCGCAAAGCCGCTAGTAAAGGCGTATCATCTTGATCGTCCACCTGTTCAAGGTCCGCCCCTGCTCGTTGTAACATTGCAAAAACTTTAAAGCACTCAAGCTTTATACAAGATATCAAAATTGTTGTTCTGTTTTCTCGTAGTCTGTACACCATATGGATATCTTTGGTAAAATCAAGGACAACTTTGATACATTGAACAAAATCGTCGAAATGTTGGTAGAACCTTTCACGATTGTCTAAAGCAAAAGCTAGTGCGATACGTCCAGTGATATCCCTTATGTTAGCATCCGCCCCATGCTGTAGAAGGATTTGTGTACATTCAAGGTGTCCAAACTTTAAAGCGTACATCAATGGCGTCCGTCCCTTGTCGTTGACTTTGTTCACTTCAGCCCAAGCTTGGGTGAGTACTTGTGTCATCTCTACTCTCTTGTGTTTGACAGCGATGTGGAGAGCCGTGTTACCGCTGTAGAAAGATGTGTCTAATGCAGCTTTGGCTTGTACCAAAAGCTTCACCATCTCTGGTTGATCCAACTCCACAGCTAGAAACAGGGCGCTAATTTTTTTACTGTTTAAAATATCCACATCGGCGCCATGCATGATGAGAAGCCTCGCTAGTCCAAGGTTCCCAGATTTAGCTGCCATAAATAAAGCTGTTTCGCCATTGGAGTTAAATGAGTCCAACTCAGCACCGTTTTCTATTAGAAGCGTGTACATTGGTTCGTCATTTTTATCAACAGAAGTTAGCAACGCATTTGTTTCATTAAACTCTACATCTAAATCTATACCGTGTTTCATCAGAGCCTTCATGATTTCCATATTTCCTTGATTGGCAGCGCTAATTACAAGTGGCTCTGTGAATCGACCAAATCTGCTGCATTCATCAGTGCAGTATTCAGTGTTTCCACATTTATTGGACAAGTTCACCTCTGCCTTATGTTGTAAAAGAAGTTTGACAAGGTCAAGGTTACCTTCATACACGGCAACATTTAAGACTCTTTCCCCTAAACAGGGTTTATGATTAACGTCTGCACCTTTTTCAAGTAGTAGCTTAATTAGGTCGAAATTTTTACAAGAGTTTCTAAAGGCGGTTTTGAGGGCTGTTTGGCCTGTAAAGTCTACATTATTAGGATTCGCACCAGATGAAATCAAAAGTTCGGCTACTTCAGTATTATCTTCATTTAAAACAACTTGCAGCATGGTTTTCTTCCAGCAATTTACTTTGTTTAGCAAAACCCCAGCCGTAAGTACAGATTGTAGAATATCCATCCTTTTTAATTGAACTGCAGCGAATAAAACCGACTGCTCCAACGGTCCATCGGCATCACGTGATTTTTCAGCTTGAACTACAGTTCTGATGAAGCCATTGTTGTACGCTGAAAGTAAAATCTTGTCTAACTGTTCGCAAGCGACGCTCGCACCGTTTTCGATTAGAAATTTCACAATGTCTAACCTCTCTATCTCTGCTGCTAACGATAACGCGGTAAAATGTCCATGCCGTGACCGACTGACGTTTAAATCAGCCCCAAATTGTACGAGATTTTGTACTGCTCTTATGTTTCCGTTCTTCACTGCTATAAGTAATGCCGTCTGTCCAAATTGATTCCTCTCATTCAGCACCCCCCTGTGTCTTGAACCAAGGCAGCTTCTGCAAGCGGCATTGTAAACTTGATAACTGTGGTTATTCGATGGGTGACTGTTGCCGTTACTGCTTGCGGGGATTACCCTCCAATGAAAACTCATGTTTAAACTGTAAAAAAAATACATACGAGTATTCAGGAAATATCTTTACTAATAAAATAAATCTACAAGCTAAATTTTTATTATTGTTGTTTATTTTTAATTTTTCGTATATGCAGTAATTGAGTTAAAGACCAATCTCGACGATTTACAGTCCGTAAAAAAAAGGTTGTGTAACACTGTATGAATTTGTGTGTCTATATCTGCGTTTGTATGTGTGCATTGATAAGTTAACGAAAATACCATTTCAGTTAGGTCAGACACAAATAGTAAGAACTTGAATAATGGTGAAAGCTTGATATCATTGAAAATGTGTTCTTAACATCTATGGACATAACTGCTATTAATTTCACCATCTTCAACGAGCAGGGTTTTTTTTTTAGATTTTCTCCTATTGTGAAAGGTTTTTTTGCTTGGCAATTTCTAATGCGACTTGATATGATGCCTGCACTGATGCTATGTTTCCTTGTAAAAACTTCCTGTTTAATCAAGTCTCTATCGTTTGTAACTAGCTTTATGCCGAGGAAAGAACTCCATATCTTTTTGGTGTGCTCCGAATGACTAGTTTCAAAATGACGTTTTAGTTTTGAATGTTTCATAGAATCATGACTGAGTACAACTTTGCACAGTAATCATTGTGGCTTCTCTATTCCATTGCTAGAATTTGTTGATTGGTTTAGTCTACCAATTGGCGACTATCTTAGAAAACCCAGGTTTTAGACATACTCGAATTTGCGCGTCAGACAAAACAATACGATTTAGGAATAAAATTTGGGTAGGCCTAGAAATATTTTAAAAAGATTGATATTTTTCTGCACTGTTAATTAGGAAATGCGCACCCTATTATTGTGTGGTACTTAAAAAGAACTGCTCAACATATGTCGAATAATACAATAATTGTTTTAATTTAATTATACAAATTTATGTTTATGATTAAAATTGATAAGTATTTTTACTTGTACTGAAATTAATAACTACTGAATAGTAAAAAGCGATAGCTGTTTCCCCAAAATTAGTATAAAACTCCTCTGAGAAATGTTAGCATTTGAGGAACTTACCTCCCTTGCAAAAAGCTCGAATAAAAAATTATATGGTCACTTTGAAGGCAGTTTTTCCAAATGTCTAACTCAGTTACCGAGATGCATCCAAAAAAAAATTAAAATATTTTTTTAATTTTTCAAATAAACTATAATGTTTATAAAACGAAAAACAGTCATTTATTGTAACGGGTTTTCGAGGTTTTCCCGAAGGACACACAATTTTTTCTTATCCCTGGGGATCGGCCTATGACGTCACAAAATATCAGTCTGGGTCGTCGAGCAGAATTTCGTTTGGATACATATTGTTTACAAAAAGCGCTGGTCAGTCGCGGTCACTTTGTTGCCCTCGGCGAAGACATTAAGTCAGACCGATAGTTTTCACCGTGTTCAATTCGCCCGATGAGATTGCTTGCCAAATATGAAGCGTTTACGGCACGGGCAAGTTCCCCAATCGGCATCCGAACACCATTAAATGTATAGATTTTACATAAATTCAAGCATACATTCGGAATCTATATTCAGAATTATAGAATTAAGCAATTAATTAAAGCAAGCGTAGAACCCATTAGGATGGCACTTATTTGAGGAGAGGATTAAATTAAATGAAATTTAAAAAAAAAGATTTTTATAGTGAAATATGGAGTTGTGGCGATATTTTTTACATATCGTAACGTACACAATTTTTACAGAAATATCTAGCACTACATATAATAAAATATATTTTATCACTCAGTTATAATGTGACTATTGAATTAGAATATGAAGAAATAAATATAAACTTTATGTATCACCATATTCTATGTTATCTTTGGGCGGCGTGCTAGAGCTCAGGACTGCTACCCCGAAATTCTCGAGTTCGGACCCTGATTCCAGTCTGTATTAAATCCATGAATCCATTCAGTCATAATGGGTACCTGACTCACATTAGGGGAACAAAGGCGGCTGGGCATAGTGCTGACCACACTATCTCCTTGTGTGATGAAGTCGTTAAAACAGATAAACACTACTTCATCTCTCCATGTGTCTTAGGCACTAAATTAAAAAAGAAGATAAAGAGGATGATTCTCTGTCATGACGTTAGAGTGAAAATGTATTCAGCAAATACATTACAATGTTTAGTTTAAACACGTAGAAAACACATACCCAGATATAAAGTCGACACATGAATTCCCAGCTCACACAGCTTCAAGTCTTCCAGCAACTAAACAACAGCCTAGCTGTAGTATCGATCACATCAGTCAAACAGAGGCCAGCACATCCACTGCATTATGTAACATTAGCTACCTTCATTACTTTTTGATAAAAAGAAGTGTTATTGGTGATCGAAAAAAAACAAAGAAAACTCCCATGGTCGGCTGGGATCTCTCCATCAATATCGATTAAATTCCCGTTCTATTTGATCGATTGGAAATATTGATTGACCTTAAAGCGATGGGTTAATATAAATCTTGAAAACGTTATACTAAAGGAGACGCATGTTTATTCAAAAAACTGGATTGTATAATGATAAGGTATCCACAGCAATCTTTGGTATATATATTTTATATTTGTCCGTGGGGCAAGTGAAGTAGAGTTCACCTGTTTATGTTACCTTGGCTTTTGAAAGAATAGTGTGCTCAAGACTACGCTCTGCCGCCTATACTTTCCCTAATATTGGGTTAGGTACCCATCACAGCTGGGTGGATCCATGAACGTTCTACGTACTTGAACACGGATTCGAACTTGAGATTGTCCGGTTAGCAGCCTAGCGCTCTACCGCTTAGGCCACGCCGTTACATTTTGTATAATGTAACGTCTGTTATATTTGCACGACATTGATTAAAGCAGTTTGAGAGGATCTATTTTAAAAAGTGATTGAGCTTAAGCAATACACAAAATGCAAGCATTTTTATAAACTTTTCTGAACATTAAACACGTGAAAGACATTCAAATACCCATGTGACACATATCCCACCCGCAATTGTCCGGTGTCCGGTCAAAAACCCCTGGACATAATCCCCCCCCCCGACATAAACCCCCTGGACATAAACTTCCCGCGACAAGAACCCCTGGACAAAACTCCCCCGCAATATAAACCCCCTGGACAACCTCCCCCCCCCCCAATTGAGGTTTATCTAACGAAAAACTAAAGATGATGAGAACCAAAATTGATAATTAAAAACAAAACAAACATTAGAAAAAAAAACAGTGTATTATTATGCGATGCCTCACAAATACTCTATCATGGTGGGATCATTCAAATATTTTAACAACAGTTGAAATTCCAGCGCTGCTATCAATATATTTTTCTTTCTATTTTGGTAAACAGTGACCTGAATTATTTATCTGTGTACAATGTCTGCCAATATATTAGTCCTCGAAACAGTCTGCTATTGGCATTGCTTCAAGGGGGACAATTTCCGATAGTTTATTAAAGGCATAAATAATGTGTTCATGGCCACAAAAGCCAACACGGGTAGAATTCCGAGCTTGAGAGCAAATTCACTATCAAGTTGGGAACGTTGTTGGGGACCTGAGTCCTGTATTTTTCTGTATATGTTTAGGCTAAGATGGAAAAAGCATCCAGTTATCTCACTGGCTGGAAATACCCTTTTAAACACTTTTTATCACAGTCATTTCAATGCCATAATAGAAATTGGTTGCAGATTTGTATTCATGACCGCTAGTTGCTGTAAGAGTGCTGTGTGTGTTTTTTGTTTTGTTATGAAGTAAAGCATAAACACATGGAACAGTCCGTCCATTGACCAATGCATGAACTGTGTACAGTTGTGAAAACAACGCAGGAGCTGTTTTCAATGTACCACCCATAGAACAGTGCTGATTAACCTCCAATAACCTAAGGTTGTCCTTAGTTCCCAACATCAACGTCCTACTTTTAACTCGGCACCAGAATCGTTAGTCGTTAAAAATTACATTAATTTAAGTTAATTTTGTTCTTTTGTTTTTATTGTGTTATCATCATCGTTATTATTCCCCCCCCCCCCCATACACTCACAAACACACACACCGCAATTCTATTTCCAACCAATCAACTACATCGTACACCAAATTTATCATTTATTTTTGTTTTCTTTTATAATTTTAAGAAAAAAAAGAATACAATAAAACATTTTGCTAGTGAAACTAAGCAAAATTACCAAAGAAAAAAAAATCATATATGTAATGGACACTATAGATTTAATCTAGATTAAATGGATTTTGAAACCTAGAAGCTTGGAATATTTTTAGTGATTATTTGATAATTTTATGTAAAAGCTGCTCTATATATTCATATGAGGCTGCATACATTTTAAAAAGTTTCTTAAAAGAATATATATATGCTATAATTTATTTTATATATCCTATTTATTATATTACTCATAATTTTCTTTCTAGATGATAAACGATAAAATACCAACAATACAACAAAAGCATAAGATAACATCATTTAAAAATAAAATGTAAGCAATGTAAATGGAAAAATTTAAAATCAATAAAAATTTTGTCCAATTAAAAAATGTATTTGTAATTTGATATTCATAAAAAATTGATTTGCTATCTAAAAATGATTTTAAAAGAAAAATTACAAAACTGTGTCCATTTTCAGTACTATAAAACAAACACAAGGTGGGTAGTACAGCGATAAAATTCCAAAATAATTTTGTATTACCTAAAAATAAAGTACAGGCTTTTTTTTTTTAAATAATCGAAGTAAATTCCTTTTTTTATGCAATTGCCTTAAAACAGTTAACAAAAATTTCCACTGAAAGTAACATGCAATGTTATTCTGTATTACAATTTAGAGTTCGCCTTCTACGGCTTACTTATTACAGTAAAGTACACATGTAGACCACATGACAATAACATGCAGTTAATTAAGACAATTATTATAAATATACTTATAACATTGAAGACTGATTGCATGAAATATAATTAAAAACACATACAAATTATATACATTTTTGACAACTCCTGCACACAATGTCGGTAGCCTACTTTTAAAAAATTATATTTAACTTTAGAGACATATACAAGAGGTTTAAACTATTTGGCAACACATCTAAACCGAAAACACGAAATGCAACGAATTTGTATGCGAAACATGAGGACTATTAGATATAATCTGTTGCAATATTCATATTATTTTGAAATTCAAAATTTGTACTTCTATTTTCTTTTATATGCACTGAAATTTTCAAAATGATGTATTACTTACGGCTATCTTTTTGGCGCCTATTTGAAAAATAATTTGCTCATGTTTCTTAAATGTTTAAAATATTTAAATGTTTAAATGTTTAAAGCAGTGTGTTAAACTTTAAAATACTTTACTTTTATTTACATACCATTATAAAGATGTAAATAACAGCTTAATAATGCAGATTATAAATCTGAAAATAAAATGCAACAATAATTATTTTCATTTATTTTACAGCTTTCATATCACCAGTTTTCGACCAACAGGCCAGTAGTAGAGTAAAGGTCTAGGACAGGGTAAAGTCTCGTACTGTACTGGGTCAAAACAAAGAGGTATTTTAGACCAGTCTTCTACAGGTAATCTTGATATGGGTTCTTGAAACATCAACGTTCGCTGTAATCTTGGTGGGAGTTTGGTCTGTTTTAGTTTTTCTTCTCTCATAGGTCCAGTCCCAAGTAAGGTGGAGACTTCAATAAAAGCAAGTTTGACCAGTGGCCAGGGTTCTCTTTTGGCAAATGCTAACTCATGAGATTCGTCTTTAAAACGAAGCTTACGACAAAGGCACTTTACATCAGATTTAAAAATATAACCGGTGGCCAAAAAGAATCTAACAAAATTATACTTTAGGTTCTTAGTGGCACAGGCAATATTTGATTTACAAGAATATGTGAAAATGTTAGCCGTATGGCTTAAAGCAATTCCATTAATTAGGAATAATTGAAAAAGCAATGATGAACCATCTTTTAGAATATTATGCATACATAAATCCAAATTATTTTTCCAGCGCTCCCACAGATAAAATTCGTTTAATAAATATCTGTGATTTTCATGAATGACAGGATCAACATAATATTTAAGAAACTCTTCAATACAAGCCTTTTTAATGTAATTTTCAACATTTAAAATAATGTATACTATAAGGGACCGGTTTTCGTTGTCTAATAAATTTAATTTAGCGCCAGCTAAAGCAAGTACTTCAATCATTTTAAAGAGACTGCCTTTTACTGAAAAATATTCCCCGTACTCAAGATACGAGCTAGATTTGCCTTTAACACCCATAACAGCATGCATGCAAGCATTCCTTCCATTACAGTCTAGACTGTTGACGTCAGCCCTGTGTTTTACTAAAGCTTTCATTAGATCTAAGTCGACTTTATTCGCAGCGTACATTAAAGGTGTTTGTCCTTCGTGCGTTGAAATATTTGGATTGGCGCCATGTTCTAATAATATATACACGGCGTATTCCTTACTTTTGGCCATTAAGTGCAAAGCGGTTTCTCCACTTTTGTCTTGAAGGTTTATTTCAGCTCCCTTTTCAATAAGATATTCTGTGATCTTACAATTGTATGCAAAGAAAAGTGGAGTTTGTCCTGCATTGTTTGGTTCATTTATGTTAGCTTCTTGCTCAAGTAATGTACACACAATGTGGAAATTATTATTCTTCACTGCAAAATGTAGCGCCGTTTCGCCTTCTGTGTTTCGAATGTTTATGTTTGCTTTCTTCTCGATTAAAATCTGAGCAATATATGTAGATACATGTTGTGTGGCAATCATTAGAGGCGTTATTCCTGAGGTATTGGTACAGTCTATGTCGCAGTTGTTTAAAATTAATAGTTTGGCTATTTCAGTATGCCCTAATTCGCAAGCAATATGAAGGGCACTTTCTCCTTCGTTATTTTTCATGTTAATAAAACTGTCTGTGAAAGCATCGGTTTCAATTGATTTAGCACATTCCTTTGAATCAATTTTAATGGTATCATCGTAATAATTCTCAGTATTATCTTTTTTGAGCTGGTTACATGGTCCTCGATTGCTGGATAAAATGGCTTCAGTTAAGGGGAGTAACTCATGTCTATTTTTTGCTATATAGTGCAAAGCTGTATTTCCTAATTCATCAACCAAAAACACATTCGGTCCTGCGTTAAGTAACAACTGGGCAGCGTCAAGATAGCCATTCTTACAAGCTTTGATTAGGGGCGTCTCGCCCTTTATATTCTGTTGGTTTACATCTGCATTGTAACGAATCAACAACTCTAAAATATCTTGGTTACGAAGTTCAACCGCTACATGTAGACAAGCGTTGCCTTCCTGGTCAGCTAAAGAAACATTAGCACCGTGCTGAAGCATAGACACGATTAGAGGTTTTATTTTTATACTTTCTTTATCAGTGACAAAAACTTTTGTGGGCGTTGAGTCCTCATCAGTATCTAAACAATACGTACGTTTACGTCCATATAAAAATAAAGATGGCTCAATCAATCTAGGATAGCTATACGGTGAAACTTCCTTTTTGTCCAAATTCATAAGCTTTAAACCTATTATTAATGCAGGCGTCTGAGTATCATCTTTGACGTTGACATTAGCGCCATTTTCAAGTAAGAAAATGGATACGTCTGAGTTTTTTTGTTTGAGAGACAATAATAACTCAGATTTTCCACAATTATCGAATAAAGCTCCATGTTTAATCAACAATTCAACAAGCTCTGTGTCATTGTTTAACACAGCAACGTGTAGAGGCGAACATTGAGATTCACTCATCAAGTTTACATCCGCCCCGGACTCCATCAAATATTTGGATAGCTCTTTATGCTTGTAAAGTAACGAAAGAAAAAGAGGGGTACTTCCATACTTATCCACAGCGTTTATATCAGCACCGACCTGACAGAATAATTTCGCCACTTCGAAATTCCCATATATCGTTGCAATGTGCAAAGGCGTCCTACCATTCCCATCTTTTGCCTTAACATCCGCCACTGCATCAAGAAGTATATTGACAATTTCAAATGATTTTAGTGATTTGTTTTGAAGAGATAATTCTGCTGGCATGCATGAAGGGGTGATGACAAACCCACATTTTCGTGCTCTTATGTGTAATTCTCTTAGAATATTTCCTGTAAGTCGTGCTGCTATGTGTAATGGTGTGACCATTCTAACACGTGAATCCTGATCAAAGATTTTCACTTCTTGTAAAATAGTCTTATCGAGACTTGGTGTGCCATGATAATAACATTGTGCCTCCGCTATGTTAACATCAGCCCCAGCTTGAATCAGTAGGCCAACTATATTTTTATTACCATTGTATAAATAGTTTTCAACACAGATAGCCAGTGGTGTTTTTTTATCGTTATCTAAACAATTAATGTTTGCTTTTGCATCAATAAGAATACTCATCATTTCTGTGTCTGATGTATTAGCTGCAACATGAAGAGGTGTTTCATTTTCTGAGTTTTTGACATCAACTTTAGCTCCCGATGCCAGAAGTAGAGAAATAATTTCAGATTTTCCCCCATAGGCAAAATGAAGAGCTGTATTTCCTTTCAGGTCTGCATGATTGATATTAGCTCCTTTTTCTATAAGAGCTTTTACAATATTTATTGCGTTTGTTTGAACAGCTTTCATTAACATAGTTTGTCCCTCCCAATAGTGTCCATTAATATCAATTTTAGGTGAGTTAGTCAGTACATTAAAAACTTCCTCTCTAGCGAAATCTTCAAACTTTAACTTTGCAATGTTTGTTGAAATGCCACTGTTTATTAAATCTACAAGCAAATCAAAGCACTCATTTTCATATGCTATTATAAATGCGTTTCTGTTTTTGTGAGACGTTGGACTTAGTAATTCGTCCTGTTCGTGAGACGTTGAGTTAAGTACTTTGTCCCCTTCCACAACAGAATCTAAAAAGTTTTGATCCCTCGCCATCTTTAAAGCCTCCAACCCTCGCTCACACGTAAAGAAAGCTCCTGCCCTGACCAGTTCTTTAACACATTCAACTCTGTTTTTTTCCACAGCTATCGTAAGAGCTGTGATATACCTTGAATTGTTACGCGTCAAATTAACATCAGCGCCTGCAGATATTAAAGTTTCTAGAGCCAAAATGTTGTTTTGCATAACAGACATCATCAGCGCGGAAACTCCATACATGTTTCTGCAGTTAATGTCATCTTTGTCTATCAAACCCTTCCTTCCACTTCTAGCGCTGTTAAACACATCCTTTACAATTCTTCCATAGTTTCTTTGACTCATTTTTGTAATTAATTATTAAATTGTTTTAAAATGTTTAAAATATTACACTCATTTACTGAATATGGTTTCTCTATGCTTTATGTTGACATAAATATCCAAAGTTATGAGTAATTCTTCTCAAAGTTTATGAAAAATTCCGCATCTGAAATCGCCAAATACAACACATTATTAATAATGATTAAATAAAGTTGTAATTATTTTTTAATTATGTGTGACAATGCCCATTTTAAATGTTTATAATCTGATATATCATCTTAAGTTACAATGTATCTCTCTGTGTTATATATGATCGATGTGATTTTAGGATTTTAATAATTTAAAAATGTGTTATTTCTTCTTGATGTCATTAGTTTCTCCATACAATTTGTTCTTATATTTGACACAATACAAAACAACTTTAGACCATTTTCAGTAGACGGAGTGGGGGGTTGTCGATGAATACAAACGCCTTATCATAAATTTACAGTCTGTATATCTACTTCGTTCGAGTTTTAAAATTGTGAATATAATTTTTTTTAAATCTATTGTTAACTATCTTTCTGAATTAGGACAATTGCTGATATTTCGAGATAAATAAACCCTTTAGTTCGTTCGGTAAAAAAAACAAATTTCACAGATTGTATATAATAAAACAAAAGATTTCATAGATTAATATTTTATGCCTAGTGCATGTTTTTTTTTAAGTTATTAAATGATCTGCTTATAAAGAAAAAAAATTTAATTCACGAGAGAAAGAAAGAGAGAGGGCGAACTAAATAAATATAATCGTAGATGACACCGTTTTTGTTAATAATAACCATTTATATTTTTTTTATTCTACATTTAAAAAGGGAACAGATTCATATTTTAATAAACCTAGCTATATAATTTCATCCGTGACAGGTATATTATGATGACTTTTATTTTTATTGTAATTTAGTATCTAAACGAAAGGTATGTACGTCTGGCACGATATAGGGGTTCCGTTTAAAACTTGAGGAAGTGCATGGATAATAAAGGGAATTCCAGATAAATTAAGAAAATACAAGTTTCTAGACTAAGTTTGCTTAGTGTATTATCCTAATTGCTACATACATTGCGTTTTTTTTTTTGTCTTCCGCTATTGTCCGATGTCAATTTTTGTGGTTTTTAAAGACCTTAACATTCATCTTGGGAAAGCTCTTATGGTATTTTAACAATTATCTAAAATGTATCTTACCTACGTGTTGACGCTACACACTATGTTCTTTCCTCCCGGTATACGACGACCACATCCTAGACTATAAAAATACAGATAATAAACACATGAAGAATAAACGAAACATAAAAAATGTCTAAAAAGATATCTAAGAGATTACATTATAGTGAAATGATTTTACATTGATCGCTTATCTCCTCAAAAAAAGTGTTACCTGTATGACCTTCTAACAGGAAGTAAATAATGTTGGAAATTTAGTTACAGGTATTTAAAATATGAAATTATATGATACAAATATATTGCATCGAATTTGTTAAAGGAACAAAATTTAGTTTGAGAATAATTTAATTGAATGAATAAAATAATTAAAGCTATGGTATATTAAACTTATTTTTTTTTAAGTAAATATCTGTACTTGAAAGAATTTTAGGGGGTCGGCGTGGTCGAGTCGGTAAAGCTCATGGTTGCTAAACCGAAAAGTCTCGAGTTCGAACCCTCGGGCAGATGAGGCTCGTTAGCTGGGGACAGCCGCTCTTCTAGGAGAGACCACTCCAAAATTAAACAACTGCTGCCTTGTAGTTTGTTCTTGGTTGGACAAAGGCTATGGAAGCAAATCCAAAAAGAAAAGCAGGCTGAAATCGGAGTCAATGGCCTCAATGGCGCATAACCAGTTGACACGTAACGCTTAATTGTGTTGGAGGCGTGGTCGAGTCGGCAAAAAGCTCATGGTTGATAAATTCGAACAAAGTCTCGAGTTCAAACCCACTGGCAGATAAATCTCGATCCCCTTCAACACTAACAATTAAGAACGAAGAAGAAGAGAAGAAGAAAGAATTTTAAAATTAAACAGGAAAAAAAAACATGTATAAAGGGAATTTTAGAAACAAAATAGTTACCACTTGTAAAAAAATATACGTTGTTTCAAGCACTGACTCTACGCTTCCAACAATTATTTTAAGCACAGTTCTGCTGGCTGATGCTGTAATTACAAAAAATGCCGCTTTAATTTCCAGATGGAGGTTCCCAGGAAATGTAAGTTATAGTTTCTAATTATAACAACCAACCGGATGTTTCACCTATACTACGCTGTTCATCAGTAAACATATCACGTGATGTTTATTGCAGTTTTATGAGCTTTTTTGATGACGTAGTAAACAGCAGGTTTATATAACATCATGTCAAGTGTTCATTTGATTACTACGAGATTCTATAGAAGTATATTACTTACACTGGGTTTACATGAGCAGGACAGAGGGGGGGGGGGGGGGGGCGGCCATATTAATAGTTGCCTGACATAGCTTTTATTCTTCTTGTGTGTAATGTAGTGCGTTCTTGTCAAACAGATATAACGACAGAATAGTGAAACTAATTTAAAGATAAAATAATAGGGTTTTCCCTGTGTAAATGAAAATATTCTAAAAATAGTGTTAGCAAGTTGTTTTTTTTTTTTTCAGTTTTACGGGAATTTCCAGAGTTATTTGTCTAAAGGTTGCTGAACAATCAAGAAAACGTCAAGAAAATTAAAACTATATTAAGATAGGTAACAGTGAGTATAATCTATGTAATTAAACGTTACAAGGAAAATGTTACTAAAATACTTTTACTCGACAAAATAAAATGTACACTATTAGCTCTTGAGAAATCATTTTCTAAATTGAAATAGGCCTAAAACAAGTATCTCTTCAATCTCTTGTAAACCTGAATGTCTTTAGCACACACTGAAGAAGCCTTCACGCTTAATTCAATAGAAACCAGTTTTAAGTGAACTAATTAATGACAAAATTAGAGACCATGTAGTCAAAATGATGCCTAATTTAAAATAAACATTATTACACCAAGTCCTGATATTTAGATATTTATATTCATAATTTAATGAATGCATCATCCATAAGGTTTTATGTCCAATAAAAAAATACTTGTTAGAATTCTAGGCCTATATTCTACTTTTTAAAGAGACTAGTGGCTTCTATGTAGGCATCGGTCCTTAGGTTTTGATGGGGGAAAGAAAGATCCACTTTGAAAATTTCCATCAGAGATAAAGGGAAACCCATTTTCAATTTCACCAGGCCTCTTGGACATTGCCAGTCCACCCTCGAATATACATTTACAATCGTAAAATAAATATCGATTTTTTAAAATAATTTCACATAAAATCGGACTAAATATTTTATCAATTCAAACCTAATATGAATAAAATGTAAACGTTTGCCATATTTTATTGAAGCTTTAAGATGTCGAACTCTGGGTTACAACGGAAGACTGTGCTGATCAATCAGAGGATCGAAGCCATGTTGGAAGAACAGAAACATCTAAAAGCAAAGGTTACTGATCACGTGATGCAGGTAATGGAAACTTGACATTTACATAGAAATTATATTGCAAATATCACATGATCTCACTGTCGCAGTTAAGGGATATTAAAGGTTAGTTAGAGAATTGCTTTCAGGCATTTTTAGGGGGGGGGGGGAGGGCCATTAAACTTTTGGGGGATGGTCTTGACTTTCCTGGGCGTGGGAAACAAACACTGGTTATAGTATATATTTTTTGTAAAAATATATATTTTTTGTAAAAATATATGTTTCAACTCTGTAAGATTTCAACTAAATATTAGTAAAGGTATTCAATAGAAACTAAAGGTACCCACGCTTTTCTTTATAGTTATTTAAATAGTAGTGTATAATTTATTTTCTCCTTTTTATTGCATTATTACAGAAAAGCTTGTTATTAAAACGTTTTTTCTGAAAAAATATGTTACTTTACATCCCTAGGTTGAGGGCAGATCTAGAGAGTGGATAAGTAAAGGAGATAACTCAGTGGAAGGGTTTCTAGATATCTGCACTTCTTTAGACACATCAACAGCTTTGCTCATCCAGAAATCAGAAGGTTTTTCTGGTAACACAGTTACACTGAATTTTTAAAATTAGTATATGACATACACACTGTTTATTACTTAGATGAAAACCATCAGATATAGTAGATAATTAATTTTTTTTTTATTTATATAATCAAGTGACCAACCAATATTGTCTTTTAATATGCAATAAAAATAAGGTAGTAAGTAATTATCTCTTGCATAGTCATCAATTACATTGTGTGTGTTCTCATCTACAAGACTCATTTCTTAATGATAAGATCCAATTTGCATAATAATAAAGAAAGAAAATAAATGAAAGAATATTTACTTGTTTTCCTTACCTACACTCAAAAATCCATTTATGTGTAAAGTAAAATAGAAAACTATTTTCAGAATCAATTTAGTACAGAATAGGTAACTTTTAATACTCTAATATTGTTGATTGACTTTGGCTTATTTATAAGTTGCAAAGAAAAATTATGTTTAAAAATCAAGGTTGTTGGTAACAAATTTCAATTTAAACTTATTAAAATGTAGTTGCAATATTCCTTTAACTTTTGATCATGCGACTTAACAAAATTTGGTTGTTTGCTTTTTTTCATTTTACAAAATAATTCAACAATTGTTTTTTAATATTTTAATAATGTGTGCATTAATAGAAACAGAAACTGCATCTTTAGAAAATGACCAGCTGCAATTTGCTACAAGAACATCCGGGTTAATGACAGGTTCACACGTTAAAGCACATCAACAAAAGGACCCCAATTTATCAAGTGAGCTGCTCTTTTCTACCTAGTGTCTCTGTAGTGAAGTGTGTTTACAGTATGTTTAAATTTTATCAAGTGTCAGCAATTTTTTCTGTTCTGATATGTCTTTCTAGTTTGTTAAAACTATATCCAATGTGATATAGTTTTTCTGTCTGTTAAAACTAATACAAATGACTGCCCAGTATAAGCTATTGACTAAACTGTTAATTTTATGATTATTTTTGAAATTGAGTAGCCAAGGCTAGTCTCAAAAAGGCGAGGTTAATGTTGTTCATGGCTAATTCTAAAAGAGGCGAACATTCCATAGATGTCTCTTGACTTATGTATCATTGATTCTCACTTCCAGGTGTAGATTCCATAAGGTTGAGTGATGTTGAGACGGTGGTTCAGAGTGTTCAATCAGATTTGAACAAACTTCAGAAAATTTTCTACAAGCAAATAGCTGACATAAAAGCCGAAACAGAAAAAGTTACGAAGAAACAAGATAGAAAACTGAAAGACATTAACAAAAAATTGGAAATTTTATTTGAAAATGGGGAGAAATCAGATGAAAATGTATCCAAATTATCCAAAAGCATAAAAGAATATGAAGAAAATAAAGAAGAAATCAGAAAAATAATACAAAGTGAACAAGACAAATTAGACAAATTATCGCAAGATGTCAAAATGCAGACTGATGAGATTTTCAATATCGATGCGAAAACAAAAATTAATGTAAATATTGTGTTAATTAGCAATATACTTTATATGGTTCAATTGGAAACTTATTTAAAGTATGTGATAAAAGAATTTACAAATAGCGACATGCAGAATATTTAGGTAGTCATCTGTAGAGATAATATAGTCAACACTATTACAAATCTAGTATGGGATGTTCAAAAACTTAGTATTGTGTGGCCGTGAATTGTTATAATATAAATTTGGTTTTAGGCAAACGCAATAAATTAATGCTATTTATATTTGTCGCAGACTAATCTGATGTGCACACTAATACAGCAAAGGCTGGCACCAGTAGAAAAAGTTATGCAAGTGTTTAATCAATCTTCACAAAATAGGGAGCTAAATAGAGCAAAGGTAAAACAATTAATAAATATAAGAGTTTTAATCTTTTACAGATTTATGTTTTTTTCCACTCCAAATAGTGTCAATATATATAATATGTGTGTGTGTGCGTAGGTCTATATAATTTAAAAATTTATCTCTATTCATTTGTTCGTATGTAAATATTTTGTACTCTATTTGTAAATATCATCAATATTTTCTGTCGCTATTTTTGTCGCTGTTTTACATATAAAATCAAGCTCTGAACACAACCAAAATATTTTTTATCACATTAACTTTAGTATTTAATGTACAAGTGCATTATTAAAAAATGTATGAATATATTTTTGTTTAATTTCCTGAGGTTTAATGAGCAAGATAGTAATAACAAACCCATTGACAAATATCCTAAAAATGATTTCTTTTATTGTTCGTGCTAAGCTGGATGTGATCGAAAAAGATCTAATGAAAATTACAACTGATTTGCTAACTCTCAGTAAGTAGAATTTTTGTTTTCTTTTTTAAAAATCTTATCAATTAATGGTAATCCTTTTTATTTTCGATTACGATAATGTAGCTAAAACTACTTTTACAAGCTTTTATATAACTTGCTTTCTGTGTCTCTCTATCTACCTGTCAGTCTAGATCGAAACCTTTTCTACCTTTTCTAACAGATCAATTTCTCTTAAACTCTGCAAGTAGGTCAAGACCCGATGACAATCCAATTTTACCCCAAATTTGACTTATTTTGGATGCTTAATTCGTTTTTAGGGTTGATCACAATTTTCTATTTAAATTGCTATTTACCATACTATTATACGCACATTTATTTTCTCCTTTTAGTGTATAATTATATAAGTTTGTTATTAAAACGTATTTTATCCTTTTTTTAATCATAATATCTCAATTTTTAAACAGACCATACAAACAAATTGTCTTTCATGCTAGCTGATCCAACAATATCACTCTAATTAACAACTAATCATGTGATTTTCATTTCAATGTTGTAATTTCAGTTTTAATTACCTTTCACCTATTAAAACAAAACATTTTTTTTAAGAACAAAAACCACTCCGGCAAAGTACTCTAGGATTCATCGCTTTACGTGGCCGTGATGGAAGAAATGATAAGCTAAAATTTAAATACGTTTCGCTTAACACGGAAGGAGTGTTTAATCCTGCAAGGGGAGAATTCACTGCACCGATTAATGGACTGTACGTAGCAAGTATCACACTGAAACAACAAAATAATGGAATAGCATGGCTGGGTGTTGTTCACAAGTCCAACAACAAGGCCAAGTGTCTTGGGGTTGTTGGGACAGAGCGCCCTGGCGAATCCTCTTCAAAGACATTTGTCGTCTGGATGGCCAAAGGGGATGTGCTGTATTCTTTTAAGCGCAAATTTTGTGACGACGAGTGGCAATGTTCTTATTTTTCTTGTTTTCTGCTAAGTGTTTAGTAACTTAGGCAAAAAACAAAATGTATGTACTAAAATTATAAATATAACTCTTAATGAGCATTGTTCTAATTATTGTTTCTGCTCACATTAATATTGGTAATTTTTTTATTACGAAAGATTTGGCGGTTGGCGCTGTGTAAGTGTTGTGGTACTAGTAATTCAGTGTACAATGGAATGTTTTGCTGCTTTTGAGTTTTGAGACATAGTTTGTCTATAAATGATGTTAAACTGGTAGAGGGGAGAGGGAACTGGAGTACGAAATATTATGATGCTCTGTGATGAGGGGAAGGGTCACACTTTTACATTTTTTTAAAAAAGTAATGTTAGAAACTGAATGTTGCTGTTATTTAGCGTTTTAGAAAACAGTTTTAATAAATTGAAATTGATTAAAATATTCTATGTTGAGCTAGTTCAGTACATATTTTAGTAAAAAAAAACGGTTATAAAAAAAATTATACTATAGTTTTGAGAGGAAGGGAGTGTAGACTGGAATATGGCGTTATTTTAGGTATGGCTTTTTGTGACGGAGGGATGACCCCTTTAATTAGCAGATAAAAAATTGATTATCATTACTATTTGTTTAAAAGATGAATATATGTTTGGCCCTGGAGAATAGAAAGAAACTGTTTTCTTCGTTTAGACATTTATTTCCAAGCGATTTTAGTACTAATGTTAAATATTTTGTTCACAATTACGTTGTATGATGCGATAATCGCTTATTTAAAAGTCTTTTACTTAATGCCTTAGTACATCGAACCACAAGGTAGCCCTGAAGTGGGAGCAATACAAAACGTGACTATGTATTTAAGAAGATCAGCTCCTACCATTACATTAAACAGACATTAAATAAGTGTATTGATAAAACTGCACAATTTTAAATACCTGATTCTACATAAATGATTATTGATTGTTAAGCGATTAATAAATACGAGTGATCAATAAGTAATAATAAAAGAAATCACACTGAAGTAAAAGAAGTAATGAATCTATTAAACGAGCATGAATTGTAAACGTGTGCTATAGGCCTTATACGTTCATGTGTATACTTGTTTACATTTGGCTGCTGTATATTTTAAAACAGATGTGTTTGGGATTATTACTTCCCAAAATATTGATGTAAATGTAAAAAATAAAATTGGCCAGACACCTTTGACGAAAGCGTGTTTGCGGTTTAACGTTGAGGCGGTTGAGTTCCTACTCAAAAATGGGGCAAATGTTTTCTTGTCTGATGAGTCAGGGAATACAACCTTGCATCGCACAGTTAAACACGAACAAGATATTATAGAATTAGTAGTCATGTTGGTATCTAACGGAGATTATATGTGTGTGCAAAAAGACGACGTGTTCGTTGGAGAAACACAATGGGCGAATACCAACTTTTTTAGCAGTGATGTAGAAAAGCAAAATGTCACTGAATTACTGTCAAAGGCAACTGAGACGCCTAGAAAATGTCTGGTTAACATGAAAAATAAAGATGAAATTAATGCACTTCATATAGCTTGCAGTTTAGGGCACATAAATATTGTCAAATTTCTACTGAAAGAAAACTGCGACTGTAACGTAGTCTCTAACAAAAGTGGGACAGCTTTAATGATAGCCTTACAGCACAACAAGCTTACAGTCGCCGACATTTTATTGGAAAATAAAGCCGATATAAATATCCACAATAGAAACGGCGACACGGCACTACACGTAGCTGTGCGATACAGTCTTACAGAGGCCGTTCGCCAGCTTGTGTTGAGTGGAGCAAAGGTCAACGCACAGAACAGAACAGGAAACACGCCCCTTTTCGCTGCGACAAATTATCAGGTTTCCAAATTTCTGATCGACAAAAATTCGAATGTCAATCTGAGAAACAATAACGGCGAGACAACCCTGCATCATTGTGCTGGGGATTCCTTGACATGTCTATTTATAGAATCTGATGCCGAGTTAGATGTCGCTTCCAGCAAGGGCCACACGCCTCTCATGTACGCGGTCGATGTTGGCGACGTGCCGAAAATAAAATGGTTGGTTGAGCACGGGGCTAATGTAAATGTTCAGGATTGTGATGGAAGAAATGCTTTCATGCATGCGGTGGTCAGAGAAAGGAATACAGTTTATACATATATTCGACTAGAAATGTGTCAGTATCTAGCCGAGAATGGATCTGACGTTAACGTTAAAGATGTAGACGGCCAGACTGCGTGTATGTTAGCGGTGGGCGAGGATTTTGATATAATGTTGGAAACACTGGTTACTATCGGGGCTGATTTAAACATTTTGGACAACGAGAATCGATCGGTCATAGTACACACCTTACTGAAAATGAAGTCGAAAAAATAAAGCGTGTGGAGAAGCTGTTAGAAAAGGGCGCACATCTTGTCATTCATGAAAACCACCGGTACTTACTTAAACAATTCTTCCCGCTAGAGTATTCTAACTATGAAGCGACAAAAAGAATGCATAAAATATTAGCCATAGGTCGAGATTCCAAAGTCGATCTCTTTAAATTTTTTCTTGTTAATGGAATTGTGGTAAGCCATTCAGTTAATATTAATATATGGTTTTCATGAAAACCACCGGTACTTACTTAAACAATTCTTCCCGCTAGAGTATTCTAACTATGAAGCGACAAAAAGAATGCATAAAATATTAGCCATAGGTCGAGATTCCAAAGTCGATCTCTTTAATTTTTTTCTTGTTAATGGAATTGTGGTAAGCCATTCAGTTAATATTAATATATGGTTTTCATCGGGTTATATGTATGATCATAACAATTCGTGCGTATTGTCAAATATTGATTGCGCTATTCAAAATGGGAAACTTAACTTTGTCATGTTTTTTTCGGTATTGGATATCTTTTTAAATCTGACTTGATGACTTTGCGTCGATACTTGCAAAACAAGTACTTAAAAAATATAACAGGTAAACTCAGCATACGTGGTGAATTAGCTGCGGCTGTTCAAGAACCCTGGCCACTGGTCAAACTAGCTTTTATTGAAGTCTCCACCTTACTTGGGACTGGACCTATGAGAGAAGAAAAACTAAAACAGACCAAACTCCCACCAAGATTGCAGCGAACGTTGATGTTTCAAGAACCCATATCAAGATTACCCGTAGAAGACTGGTCTAAAATACCTCTTTGTTTTGACCCAGTACAGTACGAGACTTTACCCTGTCCTAGACCTTTACTCTACTACTGGCCTGTTGGTCATAGGCTGGTTAACTGAAAACAGAATATTCCCTGCTAATCTAGGCTTTCTTTGTGACTGAGATTACGTTGATCCTATATGTAGAATTTTATTTTACTGATAACCTTTTGGGTTTTGAATTGATTTATATATCTTATATTTGTCAATTCGTAGTTAACTCAAATACAATTAGTGTTTTAACATAGTAGGCTTTGTATTTTGCGTTTTCATGTCTTAGAATTAATCGCAAATCATGATAATATTTTTTTAGGTTTTTACATGTGTTAGATTAAATATAGTACAGTGTGACACTGATATTTTGAGAGTTAAAACGTATTGCGTTGTGAATTAATGACTGATGTCTGGGTATCGTATATATTTTAAAATAATAGTTTTTTTTTTTTTAAATGGATAGATTGTTACTAATATATTTAGAATGATATAATTTTCATTTACACAGATGTATCTGTAACATTGTTCCTACTTTCAAATTTTCTCTCGAAATTATTGTTAACACGTTTTGAAAATAGCTTTTTGGGACTAAGCTAAAACAGCCGTGATAACATTCGTTTTTTATTTATTTATTTATTTGTTTATTCCTAAATTTTGGCCTTTACAACTAAAACTTGCTATGTTTTGTAGATGAAAACAACAGAATCGCTAAATTATTTTACTATCTCAGTATATCTGTTCTTTTAAATAATGTAGCAAATCAATTTATACAGAAGTCTGTTTCGAGGTTGAATAATAAAATAATTAAAATTAAAATCTTTCACAACGTTCACTAACTTGTGTCGTCCTCCATGAAACTTCTCCACATTACTTTATTCTTGCCTCCATTAAAAAAAATTATCTCCTTCTTCTTCTTCGTTCTTAATCCTAATGTTGGACGGGTTTTCCTACAACACAATCGAATATTATGTGTCGATTTGTTATTTGCCACATAGACAGTTGACTTCTTTTAAATTATTTTCTTCCATTGCCGTTGCCCATACAAGAACACATTTCAAGACAGTAGTTGTTTGATTTTGGAATATTTTTTTTCTCTTTGATGTTTTGCTGTTCCCAGTTATTGCACTATCCCTTCATATGCAGTGGCGTAGCGAGGTCGGGTGTCACCCGGTGCGGCACTTAATGGTGTCACCCCCCAGAGGCGTAGCGACCCTTCCCGGGGACAAACTTTCAATTTTCGTTTGATTTGCACACCCCCTCAAACTTTCGATTTTCACCCCCCCCCTCGAACTTTCGATTTGCACACCCCCCCTCCCCCCCCCCCCCCCCCCGCCCCTCAAGTTTTTCTCTATATGTTTTACTTTTTTTTTTGCCTTGGTGTCACCCCCCTAAATGGTGTCACCCGGTGCGGTCCGCACCTCCGCTACGCCTCTGTTCATATGCTGAGGTCACAGACATCATAAACTGTCAGTGTTTATTTGGTTGATATTTTGTGATTTATCACCCCTGCGCGGAATATCTCACGAGAGAGTTACCATTAGAAAATAAAATTCTTTCAGTCCATACAAAGTATAAAACTCTGGAAAGATTATTTTTTTTAAAGAAAAACATCTCCGATTTTGTTAAAATAAACATCAGTGTTGAACATGTGAATAGTTAACCAGGAAAAACAGGACAAGAAAATAATACATCAGAAGACTGTAGGCCCTATTTTTGACCAACTGACATCTATGTTCATATAAACACACATTAAATGACTATAAAAACAAATATAGCTTATATTTTCAAATAATGAAACAACCAATCAATAATTAACACACACAAAAGCAGAAAATGATAACTAAATCAAGTTAGGAAAATATAATATTATGTAAACGATAATAACCGACATCATTGGGCAAGTTAACATGTCTTTTCTTTGTTTTGTTTTCATACATGTGTTGTTGTTTTGTTTTTTTGTTTTTTTGGAAAAGGGCTGCTTACCTTTTTATTTTTTAGTGTGAAGCGTTTAACGACTACGGCAATCGTTATAGCAAGAGAGAATAAATGGGAGAACGCTCAGATACAAATAATAGATTTAACAGCGTTGTATACATCAGCATCAAAGAGCATCAACTCAATGAATAAATTAAAGAAGCAGGCCAAAATTACGAAACAAACAGCAACGCAACTTCGTCGATACGTTAAGAGGATCGATTTCTTAAGAAAGAAATAGAATTTATATAGAAAAGGTATACTTAGGGGTCATCCATAAATGACGTCACACTCGTAGGGGGGAGGGGGGGTCCGTAATTTTGTGACGATGTGTGATGAGGGGGAGGGGGGGGGGGGGTCAGATGTTGCGACGTCACATTTTTGCATTATAAAAAAGCAATGTTAGAAAACGAATTTTAGACGTTATTTCGCGTTTTAGATAACTGTTTTAATAAATTGTAATAGTTTAGACAAGATTTTGGAAAAATATCAATGTTTTAAAAAAATGCAACTGCAATTTTGAGGGGGGTTGTAGGTTGAGGTGTGACGTCATTTTAGGGGGGGGGGGGTCTGGCTTTTTGTGACGAAGTGTGACGGAGGGGAGGGGGGGGAGGTAAAAATCGTCAAAAAAAGCGTGACGTCATTTATGGATGACCCCTTATACCAGTGCCCCCCCCCCCCCACTCGGAAATTTCAAGAGTTCCCCCCCCCCCCCACCACACCACCTCCCCCGCGGTAGTGTAGGTAATCCCGTGCCTCGATAAATATGATCCAAGAAATATAACGAAAGCACTGTTTACATTTATCTCCGTTTTAGAAAACAAGGTCACACGTCTAAGAATATAAGATTGGTAATGCATTGATGAAACCCTCTTAAAATATCGCCTCAGACTTTCTTCTGATCAATGTATACGTGTTGGACAGTGCCTGACGAATCGTTGTCGAGTGAAGCTAGATACACATGTGTCGACTCTTCTCTCCATTCTTGTACGTGTTTAACTAAACATACTCTTGTGCACTGTAATTAATCTAATTTACTACGTAAATATTTACTCGGAAAAACTGACACGGAATAAAGTAATAAAAATAATTTGATTTCTGTGTGACGTTATCTTTAAAAAAAAAATTAACACTTAACACTTACTAGCCTCTGGTTAGCATTATGATTTTATGATGTAGAATTGAGTCATAGAGTTTATTTAATTCTTCTTTAAAGCTGCAACTTCTAGTTAAATATTCAGGTTAATATAATAAGATTTCGCATCTGCATGATTTTACTGACCAATCCTTTTTTTTAAAACAGAAAGTGTTTTTTTTTTCAGAGAATTTAAATGCTGTTATTTTTTTATTGCAAAAAAAAAAACGTTTTAATAACAAGCTTTTATGTAATAAAGCACTAAAAATAAAAGACGTATTTATACTTGTTTTATATTCCATTTTCTGTAGGCCTATATTGTTCATATTGCTTTTGTTCAGAGTTTCTTCCAGACGTTTCTTCGGGGGGGGGGGGGGGGTTTACCGCCCCCCCCCCCCCCCCGAACGAAATTAAATTTATATAATTTATATAGAAAATATATACATTTAACAGTGTCCGCCCCACCGGAGAAAGTCTACCGACCCCCCCCCCCCCCCCGAAAATTTCAAGTGCCCCCCCGGAGAAAAAAGTCTGGAAGAAACACTGCCTTTGTTAGGCCTCAGTAGCTGCAATCAGCGAGTAAGGGGTATAACTCGGAATGATTTATTCCATTAAATTTTAAGAGTTCTCTTTCTTAATCAAAATTTTGCTTGATCGGTCTAACATCTCTAGCGGAGCGAAATTTAATCATAGATCTAGATTCTAGATCTAGATCTAGATCTAGATCTAGAATCTAGAAAATTTCAAGTGCCCCCCCCCCCCCCCCCCCGGAGAAAAAAGTCTGGAAGAAACACTGCCTTTGTTAGGCCTCAGTAGCTGCAATCAGCGAGTAAGGGGTATAACTCGGAATGATTTATTCCATTAAATTTTAAGAGTTCTCTTTCTTAATCAAAATTTTGCTTGATCGGTCTAACATCTCTAGCGGAGCGAAATTTAATCATAGATCTAGATTCTAGTAAGAATAGTAAGTTTAAAGTGTTTAGAGTTTAAATCAGATCTAGATCTAGAAGATTTTACTCAAAATTTTAGATCTAGATCTAGACTTCTACTCTAGATCTAGTCAACTATAGTCACTACACACTATACTTAGTACACTAGTCTAAGTAGGTAATCTTTCGCTTTAGCGTAATCAATTCGGCCGTCACTAGTAATGTAGGGATAAGGTAACTAATAAATATGGCTTAAATATGGATATATTTTTGCATATTTTACTAAAATACTAAAGATAATTGAATATTAAACCACATTAAAGGTTTAAATCAATAAAAATGTCAGGAAATTAAAGTTTAACAACGATGTTACAGATACTAAATTTGCTATTAAAAACAGCCGCCATCTTAAGAAAATATTATTTTGAGTCATTTCCCTTTAATTTCTATTTGTATGGAAATGTATTGATGTTTGCTGTTAAATAGGTTAGTCTTGTGTTTAAATACAAAGCATGCGTTTTTTTTAAAAATTCTGCCCTTTAAACAATTTAATTGACTGACAATAAACATCAATTCTATAATTATTATTATGAGATGCAATTTTTATACATTAAGATACTCCCTATTTTTATAGAGCTACCACTACATATCTAATGTTTATTTAAATATTAGTTTGAGTTCATTCTTATTGTTTGTGTTATTGTTTGTTTCCTATTTTCATTTAATATTTTCATGCTTTTTTCCTTTAATTAGTGATTTAATCACAAATGACGTCCCGTTTTTGACCTCTCTTCACCTTAACCCCCCCCCCCCCCCGACCCCCATTTTTGCCGTCACGAAATAGTCGTTATGTCGAAAATTACCTTTTTGCCCTGTCTATTAAAAAGTCAAGCCATAATTCTAATGAAAAATATTTTTAGCATTTTTGTATTAGGCGAAATACATAACGTTTCACGTTTCTTACCCCTCCCACTTCCCGCGTAAAACGTCGTCTCAAAACCAGTTACTCCACCCCTTAAGTGTGCGATGTCATTTAGGGTAGATGTCAAGTCCTATATACATTTTGAATAACCTTTGTTGTCAAAATGGTGATACCAAATACCCAAAATGAGTTATATGGGGTTGCCCATAAACGATGTCACATATGCAATGCTAATGTGACGTCAACTTACGCAGGGTGGTCGGGGGGGGGGGGGGGGATGCGTGACGTCTATTTTGGAATCTTCTATAAAGCTGTGCTCAGTGAAAATGAGGAACATAAAGCGTTCGTTTTCATGCATACATTTGTTCATAACTATTGCATGCCTGTTGTACTAAGCGGTGTTAAACAACCTCAGCACATCATCCCCGCCAAAAAGGGCCTGCCACTAAATGCCTACCGACGAAAATAGGCCGCACTATATTGACTCCAAATGAAATAACTTCTGACAACAAGGCTCAAACCAAGTAGCTCCTGTCAACAATATTCGACAAGTATTGACTAGCAGGTAAAATGGGACAAATCGAAAATTGAAAGTTTGTCGCCTCTGGGGGGTGACACCATGAAGTGCCGCACCGGGTGACACTCGACCTCGCTACGCCACTGAGCTAATGTAAAGCCACAGCTCAGTATAGGCTTGAATTTAACATAAAATAGTGTTAGCAGTGGACAGCCTCTAAGACTGTGCATTAGGAGTACGGCCGTCGGCAAAACGCCAGAGTCCGACGATATCTGAACATCAATTTTGTCTTTTATGAAGTGCGGAGCACCTTTAAGACCTGAGCTTGGCCCCTGTTGACACCACCACCAGCGCCGCTTATGTCCACATATTAATCACACGTTTTGCGTGGAGCTTAATGGACAGACGTTTATAGGTGGGACCGGGAGCCTAAATGCATTTACCGAAGCCGCTGTGTCACGGGCATTTTAGAGCCGAACGTCTCAGGGCAGCAGGTTGCAGAAATTAAAAGCACGTGAATTTGTATAGTAGAGGGAGAACATCATGCCACTGTAATAAATTAACACCAATATAATTCACCGAACTAAAGTTATTTAGATCTATTCGTCAGGCTAAACGTCGTTAAAGTCTCACCGCCATAGTGATTTAGGGCCTGTTTTGATTTTCTTTTAATTAAGCGGTATCTTTCTTAAACATTAGCCTAATGACAAATGACGTCACGCGCGCCGCGAACTTTGTGACGTTGTGCTTAGTGGGGGATGAACAGCGTGGTTGAGAAGCATGACGTATTTCTTTTTTTTTTTAAACACACGAATAAGTGATAGATTATAATTTTCATACAAACTATAGGTTGATCTAGTTTTTTTTTCTAGAGGGAGATATCACTATATTGTGATAGGCGATTTATATATAATCTCAATATATTCTGATCTACTACTATTCATACGGCAACTATTATACTCGAGAGGAGGACGGGAATCACTCTTATGTTCCGCAGACACTAATTAACAATGTCAACAACTTAGTTTATGAAATAACATGAACTTAATTAACACACACTTATAGATCATTTTCACAATATCAAATAATACATCCGTCTTCTACTATATCTAACCCCCAACTAACTTCACTGCTGCGTCTTACGTCATCGGTACATTGTCGCACCATGCTCACGTCACACTCACGTCACACATATTTTATTGAACACGCGCACAATACTCTCGCACCAAATCGTCTACCGTCAACTTCGTACCGTCCTTAGTAACCTCTACTCGTCTAGTCTATTTCTATATATCTACGCTATGACACATATAGTGGGTGTTTTTTTTTTTGGTAATAATGGAAGGTGGGGAGGGGTAAACATTGACTACTGAAGAAATAAAAAACTGATGACAGCAGAAGGCAAAGAAAAAAAAACCATGTGGTATTCAAATGTAACTAATTAAAATTTGAACCTATTTTAAAAAACACAATAATCTTAATTCAGAAAAAGTGTAGGCCTAAGACTAATGTCTACAGACAAAATAAACAACTAGGCTTAATTAAATGGATCGCCCATAAATGACGTCATACTTTTCCCGACAATTTCCCTCTCACCCAATAGTTACTAAAAGCAAGATGATGATTTAATATCATATCGCAGTTCTACTATACCCGAACCCTTAATCACAATTTCTAACGAAAACGAATATATTCTTCATCATTTTTGAAAAAAATATTTTACACCGTCCCATATTTTGAGTCCAACGTCATTTATGAGGAATATGGACGACCTAATAATTGACAAGTTAAGGGGTCATCCATAAATGACGTCACGCTTTTTTAATACGATTTTTACCTCCCCCCTCCCCTCCGTCACACGTCGTCACAAAAAGTCAGACCCCCCCCCCCTAAAATGACATCACACATCAGCCTACACCCCCCCCCACCCCCCTCAAAATTGCAGTTGATTTTTTTTTAAAACATCGATATTTTTCCAAAATCTTGTCTGAAATATGTCAAAATATAGTATTTTAATCAATTCCTATTATAATTTATTAAAACTGTTTTTTTAAAGCTAAATAATGTCTAAAATTCGTTTTCTAACTTTTCTTATCTATAAAGCAAAAGTGTGACGTAGCACCATCTGAACCCCCCCCCCCCTCCCCGTCATCACAAAATTACCGACCCCTCCCCCCTCCCCCCTACGATTGTGACGTCATTTATGGACGACCCCTAATCAGTACAAAAGGGTTTAGTAAATGTTGGACCTCCCAAAATTTTTTGAGATCTTGGATGTACATACATACATAGCCTTCATTTCACTTGAAAATGAAATTAAAGATAAGAAGACGGCCCTCTGTCTTACTTATATTAAACAAGACAGGTATGTATATTAAACAACAAAGTCAACACAATATACATACGAATAGACATTTTTATCCAGGGAAACTACTCTAAATTTTATATGGAAAGATGGCCGCTGTTTTTTTTCTACTAATATTTATCTCAAACACCTAGTTTAAAGTTAGTTTCATGTTATTTAAATTGTTTTGGTCACTGTTTGTTATTTTAAATCAATTATCTGTGATATTTTGTAAAATTTGACTTAAATAAACTTATTTAAACAAATATATTCATCAGCTACCTCTCCCGCACATTACTATTGCAGCCGAATTGATTACGCTAAAACGATAGATTACCGTCTAAGTAAGAGTCTCTAAGAGTCTAACTGATATATTCTAGATTAAGATTTCTATCTAGATCTAGTATCTAGATCTTAACTAGCTAGTCAAGTGTGATTGCTACTAGATTCTAGATCTATCTACTAGTGATTAATTATATAATATAATATATTAATACTAGATCTATAATACTGAGTAATTTAGTACTAGTCTAGATCTAGATAATCTCTACTAGAATTTAGACTAAATATACTAAATGAGACAATATCTAGATCTAGATGTAGAATCTAGATTAGTAGTAATTACTACCTATCTAGATAGATAATATCAGTAGTACAGTGCTTTTTCCAGATTTTTTTCTCTGGGGGGGGGGGGGTACTTGAAATATTCAGGGGGGGGACGGGGACACTGTTAAAAGTATATATTTTCTATATTAATTTCATTTTCTTCTGGGGGACGGGAAACTTTCTTCGAGGATGCCTCGTAGAAACTCTTATCTAGTCTAGATTCTATTAAATTATCTAGATCTAGATTCTAAATAATTAACAAAAGTTTCCCTTCGATGAGTAACTGGAAAAAATATTTTGATAGTAATAGACATACATTAAGAGTCATTACGATAAGGCATCTGATGGGTTTGAACTCTATTTCCATTCATCAAAAGGTTTGGCATAACTTAATTGCAAGATTTATGCACTTAATATTTAATTTAATACCGAAATTTACTTCTCAATGCTACAGCTCAGTGCAGTGCGGTTTCAACTAATATTCGCTATCATTGTTATTTTTTTCGTTAAGTCCCTTTCAGTACCATGTAATGTAAAATGACAGATACGTCTTTCATTGAATTATATAAAAGATAAAATACAACTGGTGTTTGTATCAAATACATTTAAATTTTTTTATTCATGTGGCTAGAATTAACATTCATCAAAAAAGCTGGACGCAACATTGATCGTAAGATAGATGGCCTATGTAGTAGGAAATTAAAAAAAAAAAAATTTCTGTATGTTTTTATAACTTATTTGATTATTAGGCCTATAATTAATAATATAAACTCATACCTTGCCTACTTTTTATATTAGTTATCAAAATTGTAGTCATAGGTACGCAAGAGAATATTATAGAAAATGAGTGAACTATCTTTTGTTTAAATTATTTAACAATGAGACCATACATATGTTCAAATTAACTGCAGTGGGATTAAACATGTAAAATACTAAATAGTATCTAGACCCAGGTTTACAAGGACTTGTTCGGGAACATATTTAACTTGAACGGGAATTCCTGAAATTATTTGTATTGTCCAATTTCAGTTTATTGTGGCTTACTCAAACCATTATTTGGTAAAAAAAAATAAAATAAATAAATAGCCTAATGCGCAACAAACTCTCCTATACTTTCTATGACAATTATTCCATACATTTGTTCAAAGAAACCGTATAATGGATTATAATTGTAAATATTATCTGATCTTTTGGATACTCATTTTTATTATTTTAAGTTGAACGGGAATTCCTGATATTATTTGCATGTTTTCAGTTTATTATTGCCTACTTAAACTTAAACACATGCCTTGTTAAAAGGGAGAGGTGTTCAGCACTATGCCCAGCCGCCTTTGTTTCCCTAACGTGAGTTAGGTATCCAGCAGAGCTGGGTGGACTCAGGGACATAAAATCTTGTGACTTGAACCCGGATTCGAACTCGAGACGCCGTCCCATCCGCCTCCTACTAATAGGATTTAATGTAACCGAAACAAAAGTTAATAAAATGTTAAGTCCTCATTTTTTTCCGATAATGATTTAACTTATAACACTCACTTTTTCCATTTGCAGATTTATTATTATAAAAATAGAAAAAACATCCGAGGAAGCACATTTGATTGTAGTTGATGTTAATTTGAATGATTTGATCATCCGTTTACAAAATGACTGGTCGAATCGTTAAAGATGTATTTAACAAAGCTAAAAGTGGAGAGATATTGAGATTAGAGAACAGTGATATTAACCTCCGAAACATGCATGGCGTTTCAGCACTGATGATGTCTGTTATGGAAAATGACATTCTGGCTTTAAAAACGTTGATATCGGCAGGCGCTGATGTTAATTTAACCAAAACTAAGGTCAGATATACCACAGCACTGACCATAGCAGTGGAAAGGGGGAGCGTCGAATGTGTAAAGGAACTGATCAGGGCAGGAGCTTTCTTTACGTGTGAGCGAGGGTTGGAGGCTTTAAAGATGGCGAGGGATTACAACTTCTTAGATGCTGTGATTCAAGGAGAGAACGTATCTTATGCAAAGCCTTATGAACATAGAAACGCATTTGATATAGCTTATATCAATGAATGCTTTGATTTGCTTGTCGATTTGATTAACTGTGGCATTACAAAAAAAATATCATCATTAAAATTTGAAGACTTTGCTAGGGCAGAGATATTCAACGTACTGATGAACTCACCAAACATCGATATTAATGAACACTATTGGGAGGGACAAACTATTTTAATGAAAGCTGTTCAAACACATAAAAAGCATATTGTGCAACTTCTTCTTCAAAAAGGAGTTAATATTCATGAAGTGGACTGGGAAGGAAATACAGCTCTTCATTTGGCCTACATTGGAAAGTCTGAAATAATTTCTCTACTTCTGGTAGCGGGAGCTGAAGTTGATGTCAAAAACTCAGAACATCAAACACCACTTCATGTTGCAGCTAATAAATCAGACACAGAAATGATAAAACTTCTAATAGAGGCAAAAGCGGATATAAATTGTACAGATAAACGTGGCCAAACACCGCTTGCAATTTGTGTTGAAAACTCAGATTTAAACACGGCAACATGTTTACTACGACATGGGGCAGAGGTCAATACAGTTAATAACCATGGGGTTACTCCCCTTATTCGGGCCGTTACAAAGCAACACGAGAAGCTCGTAGATATCCTAATTGTATACAAAGCAGACGTGAACTATAAACAAACCACGGTGTTAATTTATGCTGTGTTGAACGTTAACAAAAATATTGTGTCAAAACTGATTCAGGCTGGTGCTGATGTTAACATGAAGACTACACGGTGTTATCGAGACGAATATCCCATTAATTATAATCTTTTGGAAGAGGCAAAAAAGAACGCTTTGCTGGATACCTCTATGCATAATCTCACACCTTTACACATAGCAGCTATAACTTCTCCTCAACACACAGCACAGACTTCACTTCAGGTAGTCAAAATACTATTAAAAGGAGGGGCAAATGTTCACGCAGTTGACGAGGACGATTGGACTCCATTACACATCTCAGCAATATATGGTGATTTGGACATCGTAAAATCTTTAATCAAGGCTGGATCAAATATAAACGCCGTGGATAAATTTGGAAGGACCCCACTTTTCTTTTCGTTACTTTATAATCATAGAGAGCTAGCAAAATATTTGATAAAGTCCGGGGCGGATGTAAACTTGATGAGTGAATCTCAACGCTCGCCTTTATATGTTGCTGTGTTTTACAAATACAATGAGCTTGTTCGTATGTTGATTAAACATGGCGCTCTTGCAGATAAAGGCAGAAAATCTGCGCTACTGATGGCTCTAGAACATAAACATGTAAACGTGTCGATACTTTTAGTGAAAAATGGCGCTAATGTCAACGTTAAAGACGATACTCAGACACCTGCATTGATAAAAGTTTTAAACCTTGTACAATTTTACAAAATGTTTCCATCACGAGACAGATGCTTTAAGAGAAGAAAGCAATATTTGTTTTCACGCGGACGTAAACGTGTGTATGGTCCAGATCCTGATGAACCATCGGTGCCCACAAAAGTGTTTGTTTCCAATAAACAAAGTGTAAAAACAAAAACTCTAATTGAGTCCATGCTCCAGCACGGTGCCAACGTTTCTTTAGCAGACGTTGAAGGCAACACTTGTCTGCATGAAGCTGCTCGACATTGCAACAAAGAGATATTGGAGTTACTGTTACATTACAAGGCGGAAGTAAATCAACAGAATGTAAAAGGTGAAACGCCACTAATGATAGCTTGTGTAAGCGGCAATGTTGAGGCTGCCGAGGTTTTACTGAAGGCAGGAGCTAACGTGTTTTTGGTTGACAAAAATAAAAACACAGCATTACACCATTGTGCACAGTATAGAAATGATTTGCTTCCCTTAGTTGAAAAGCTCGTCTTACATAGTAACCAACATAATAATGAGTTCAGGCAAGAAAATACCTTGGTAAGTAATGCCAACCGAACTGTTAATAATCAGGGAAGCGATTTGTTTGATACATTACAAACCACTGAAACAAGTTCTAAAAGTGAAATTTTTGTCAACATGAGAAATGATAACAAAGAAAGCGCTATTCACAAATTTTGCACATTAGGGCGTCTTAACATTGTCAAGTTTTTGATAAGTCAAAAGTGCAATCTAGACTGTACTACTAGCTCAGGGCAAACACCTCTAATGATTGCATCAAAACATCAGTTCCTACATGTTGTAAAATGTCTGATTGAAAACAAAGCCAGCGTAAATATACGAGACAATGATGGTGAATCAGCACTACATGCTGCAGTGAAATGTTGTAATTTCGAAATTGTATCATTCTTAGTAGAGAACGGAGCTAATGTCACCCAATCAAATAATGCCGGGCAAACGCCACTTTTCTATGCGGGAAGTTTGAAAACTATTAAGTATTTGATTGAAAAGGGAGATGAAATAAACCGGATAGACAAAAGTGGTGAAATGGCTTTACACTTCAATTCTAAATCTTATAAGCTTTCAGCTGTTGATGCATTATTAGAATTAGGAGCAAATCCAGATATCACTACAGATGAAGGCACCACGGCTCTAATGATCGCTGCCAGTGTGGGCTACATTTCTGTCGTGAAAAGTTTAATAGCAAACGGAGCTAACGTTCATGTACGAGATAGTCAGGGGAGAAACGCTTGCATGTACGCTGTAATAGGTGTTAAAAACAAAAAAGACTGGTATGTTGCAGAATATGGAGATTCTTATAATGATTGTTACAGTGAAATGTTTAGGGAATCTGACGTGGCAGATGATCTCTTTGACATTATGAATTTCCTGGTTAGTGCTGGTGCAGATTTAAACATTTTGGATAATGAAAATCGATCTTTAATTGTGTATACTTTATTAAATGTAAAAAAGGAGTCGCAGAAAGAATGCATTCAAAAGTTTTTGAAACTTGGTGTTGATCCTATCCTGCATGAAAATCACCGGTATTTATTAAATGAGTTTATTTTGCCAGAATGCTGGCCGTATTTTGAAGAAAAACGTGCACGCTTTGGTCTAAAAGATAATTCAAAAATTATTTTTCAATTTCTCCTAATAAACGGAATCACACTGTGTCATTCAGTGAACAATTACACTCAATTTAGTGAATCAAATTTTACCTGCGCTGCTCGGAACAAAAACTTTGATTTCCTTCGGTTCTTTTTAGCCACGGGCTTTATCTTTACATCTGACTTGAAGAGTTTGCGTAATGACAAATACTTTAAAGACGATACTGATGAGTACTTAGACACCAATGACTCACTACATGCTGAGTTAACTTTGGCAAAAAGAGAACCCTGGCCACTGGTCAAACTAGCTTTTATTGAAGTCTCCACCTTACTTGGGACTGGGCCTATGAGAGAAGAAAAACTAAAACAGACCAAACTCCCACCAAGATTACAGCGAACGTTGATGTTTCAAGAACCAATATCAAGATTACCTGTAGAAGACTGGTCTAAAATACCTCTTTGTTTTGACCCAGTACAGTACGAGACTTTACCCTGTCCTAGACCTTTACTCTACTACTGGCCTGTTGGTCGTAGGCTCGTCGACTGAGAAACTTGTATTCGTTTACGGACGGAAAGTTTATTACTTATTTTCGCTTTGTGATTAAACTTATGTTTATAATTTATGTAGAGTTAAATTTTACTGATAATCTTTTGGGTTTTGATGATTTTGATTTACATTTTTTTATATTATTTATTTCGTACTGAACAAGACTACATTAACGATTTTAATATTGTAGCGTTTGATTTTTTTTTTGGATTTGCGTGTTTTATTAATCATTGAACATGTTTTAAATACATGTTCGAGTGTTGGATTATATGCTTTATTACACGTTTTTGAAATTTAAAATATACTTTCTTTGAAATAATAAACATTTAGTAGATATAGATTACATTTTCGTAAACAGTTTACATTTTAAAATTATTCAAAATGTTGATTTGAAATGTAATAGGCCTATAATTGTAACATAATATATTGTATATTTACGAAAATGTGATGGTGCATTTTTTTAAGTCCGCTTTCCAATAGAAATTTTTAGTCGTTTTTTTTTCCGCTAATCTAAAAGAATAGGAGCTGGTATGAGACGTTGATTATTTTAAAGATATATTGTATATTTATGTACAAACGGTGACGCGAATATCATACATACATTTTTTTTTCTTAATTAGCTTTAGTGTGTCCAATACAGGTAGTCTATCTAGTAAATGATTTCTCAATGTAAAGAGTTTCTTTCAGTCATCTCTCCGGGGAGAGGCACTATGACTCTGCCCTCCTACCCCACTCACCGCAGTGCATGTTGATCGCCATACCCCCTTTCCCCGCCACCCTCCCAGAAGACTTACATACTCCACCTCGACGGAAGCTTCCAGTACCACCATCTTGAAGTAAAATGACTAACAGAAACCGTATTAGTAGAAGTAGTGTTTAAATGATGAGAATACCAAGTAAAATTAAATGTACTTTATTTGCTTTTTAGTAATCTTTTTTTTTTTTAACTTTTCGAGCGATTCTGTTTGTTCCTATATTCAGGTCTATGCAATTTGGAATTTTTTGTAATTGAGAATTGCTGGCTCGCTAAATGCTTTTATCATCCTCATATATTTTTGTTTGAAATAAATGCCGCTAATCAATTCAAACCGAAGTCTTCTGCTAATTTTTACACTTTCATATTTCTATTATTTGTTTTTGTATACAATTATTTAAAGTGGTAAAGTGTGATGTATATTAACTCTTAGCCTTGGCGAGGAAGATCAGCCGGTTTATCATATAAATTTTCTCGCATTCTTGTTTAGGAAATGCACCATGACGGATATTCCTCAAAATTTCTGTTGAGTGTTTGGGGAAAAATAAATTATATATATAATTGGCTGTGTTTAATGTGTTGTGAATGTATTGTCGTGTTGTGTTAATTGTAGTACTATTTGTTTATTGATGTGCTGTGTGTGAATTGATGTGTTGTGTGTGAATTGTCCAAAAGCGGCCTTCTATTTCCCTAACATTTGGGCGGTCGCCGAAGTGTATTCTACCTCACAATTACTGAGAGTGATTAACGTACACTTTAGGCTTTCATACAGCACGCCCTGTGGTGTGATTGGGCGGTAGTGAGATATTTTGTCAGACTTTCTTCAGGGACCGCAGCAACGCTTTCATCAGGGATGTTATTTTTCCGAATTTTAGCAGAAATCCGATTTTTCCGTTTCAGTTGCGATTTTCCTCCGCTTATTTAATTTTCGCCGAATTTTTCCGCCGACTTTCAATTTTTGTCGATTTTTTACGAAGTTTTAAAAATTAGGAAAAAAAAACGGAAATGTCTTCTACGAAAAGGGCCGACATGCTTATTCCACTTATTCGTAGTTAAATTTAAATCGACAACTACTGTACTTGTCTTAGGTCAAACGGACACTCGAATATGCGCATTTCTTTTCGATTGGTCGATTGCGCTAGGTCTGACGGTGCTAGATCAAGATTAAATGTAGATTAAGATTCGGAATTTCGGCGGACTTACGAATTTTTCAAAGCACAATTTTTAGTCCAAATTTTCCGCTGATATTTTCAGTTAACTATTTATCAAAAACACGGGAAAAGGTTATCTAAAATAATGCAGTTATTCAAATGAAACTTCCATCTCTTAAGCCTGGTAAACTAGCTATTGATATAGCCTAATTTATCTATCGGTATTTAACCCGCCTAAATCTACAGTTTCTCTCTGATTCTATTTTATTTCGCAATCTCAAATTAATAACTTAATATTGAAATCCTTGCAAAAGGTGACTATGAGGACTAGACTAACCCGCCCCACCTCGTAGTAACGGTGGCTCTTGTGACCTCACCTTGACCCCAAGTACGTGTTCGGTACTGCTTGTGGAAAAAAAATGACGTCACAGTCAATTTCAAATAGCTGTTCCCGCAATTCGTATGCTTCGTAGGCCTTACAGATAAAAAAAAAATACTAAACTCAACGTGACTACGACCGTGTCTTGTTTGGAGAAGAAAAGATACTTACTGACTGTTTTTAAATTTTTAATAAGGGGTCTCCCATAAATAACGTCACACTCGTAAGATAGTGTAACGTCATATTTTTGTATTTTAAAAAAAGTAATGTTAGAAACAACTGTATTTTAGCCGCTATTACGCGATTTGGAAAACTGTTGTAAAACATTGTAATAAAAATTGAATAAAATACCCTATGTTGGTCGACCTCAGTCAATATTTTAGAAAAAAAATCGATATCTAAAAAAAATTCTATTCGAGGAGGGGGGCATTTGTTGCTGAGGTGTTACGTCGTTATAGGGGGAAGGAGTCTGGCTTTTGTAGGAGAGAGGGGAGGTAAATAACGTAAAAAAACGTGGATGACCCCTAACAATTTACAGCTAATCCAAAAAAACAAATATCGATGTGGCTTGGCTATCAAAATGATTAACTTTGGTTCACATATCAGACCCTTTCTAATTTTAGCTAACCTGGTCCTTTTCATTTTTCCATCACATGAACCTAAAACTTTCAAATTATAACTAATCTTAATCTAGGCTCTTTACAGTTGAAGACAAATATTTTTACCAATCCAAACTTTAAAAGAATATAAGGCATTATAAGGCCCCCTATTTAAAATTGAAAACAGGAATACATCTAGAATCTACACTAGATTAGTACAGTTTAACCCTTTCCCCGGAGACTGGGTGTAATCCACCCGAAGTCGCTATATTTTTGCTCATATCTCGAGTCTCGTTTTATAAATTTTTCTGGGCCTCATTCCCATCTATAAGGTGGTTGGGGTGAACACATTGGAGGTTGTAAATTTTAAAAATATGCGTAAAAATTTTTTTATGAGGGTTTGAAATTTTTGTATACGGTCCCTGGCAACTGGGTGTAACACACCAGTACACAATTTTGAATGGAAAAAATATTTATAGCTTATAAACTGGCTTCTAAATATTTGTTTTTATTTATTGTGGGTTAAGTCATTGTGTTACATTTTCAAAGTTTAACTATAAATTAACAATCTGAAGGTATTTGAGTAACAAAAATATCAAACAGGATTGAAATAATCAACCTTTGTAATAAAATAATAGAACATTAACATATTTTAATAATTTGCACCTCAGAGAGCACAGTTGTTAGATAAAATTAAAATTGCTGGCAGGGAATTTTTGTTTTCTTTGACAAAATATGGGCACCCTTTTAGTGGTGTTACATGAGTCACATGCCCAAAATATTTTAATTCTAAATTCTATACTGATCGGAGTTGCTTGGTATTGATTGGATAAATCTACTCCCACCTCTAAAATCAACCAGTTGCCCAATTAGTTATGATCTCTCCAGAAACATAACACATTGCTAAATTTGTATGGAATATCTACCATAATGGTATCAAATATACAATGAGCCTGATGGACTGTTAGTTATTGTTGTCAAAGTGAATATGACCCAGAATGTTGCTGAATTTCTTCATAGAAAATTATTCCTTCAAAAACTTCTATAAGCAGAACTGAATTGACAGACAACTAAATTGTTATTCTGCAGAGTGCCAGTGTCTTTCCTGAAAATATTTCTTTTTCTTCACTTTGCACCATCAGTTTCATTTCATTATGTGTGCCAACTGTTGACACATTATTGATTTTTGAAATGCAGTATATTGGGTAGACCTCGTCATTCTTCATTTTCTACCTCTGATACTGATAGTTCAGACTCAAAACTTGTTGGTCATTTTCACCTGCTATACTAAAACTGGCAAATATATTCCTTTATCATTAGCCTTGAGTTTAGACAAAAGCATTCAAGACTTGTTTCTGTTGTGTTCTCAATAATGTTTATGGCTATTTATAAACCTTACTCTCAGGGTCACAACCTGTAGAACACACACCCCACTCCCAGTTTGACCAATTCATTGCCCAGTATCAACTTTCAAGCAGCATTAAAAAGCTGTTTTGCCTTTTTGTCCTCATTCGTACTCCTAATGAGGTTAATGTCAAGTTACTCTAAAATGCTCCACTGTCTCTATCTACATTCCATAGCTCCCTAAAAGAGTACAAATCACCATATATGTCCTCCCACAGGCAATCTTACCCCTGCATTTAATTAACCTATTGTAACTCTAAACTACAGTTCTGTCTGTAACTGCAAGTCAGAGCTCCGGCAAAGAGTATAAATCACTACATGTGTCCACCCACAGGTTAACTCTTGCTTGAGAATCCCATCAACCTGTAGTATCATATTACAGCTCTCCTATTGACAACAACATGTCTTGGGTTCCCCATGGCCACAATGCCCTGAATACCTTAACTGTGTCAGTATTGTTACCCACCCCACAATGAACAAAGAAAAGAATTTACTATAAGAAAGTCTTTGGGTGTTATCCACCCAGTTGCCGGGGACAGGGTACCAAATATGTTGCCGGGGAAAGGGTTAAGTTAGCTTAATGGTAAAATAAAACTAAATTGCTACTTTTGTTACATTGTAATTTTTAAAAAGTTGTTTTTAAGGTAAACATTAAATTGCAATTAGACAAGACTTTCAATGTTATTTTAGAGTAATATAAACTTCTTGCATTTAAAATATTAACTTCA